AAAATCGCCCGGATTTTGCTCTGTAAGTGGAAAGGCGGTGACCCTGAGTCCGCATGCCTCTGCGTCCACCGCTGTGTCTCGCGTGAGAAACGCTGACGACAAACCACGAGGCCCCTCTGTCTGCGGGGGCGTCTGCCGTGCTGTGGCAGTGCAGCCGCACGAACGCACTGGGGCTCGGCACCATCTTGCTGTAAACATGGGCCGTGGAGTTTTTTAAATATTTATTTTAGGAGGGCAAGGTGGGGAAAGGGGGGGGGAGGCTAAGTAAATTCTCCCTAAAATACTTCATCCAAGAATGAGCTTATTTGTGAGCGTCAAGTTTAGGTAAAACATTCTGCTTTCACAATCCCGTAGCCCCCACTTTAGCTGCAACGACGCAGCAGAATGCGCCTCTCTCTCTGTGTGTGGATGTGCGTGCCGTGTCCACTCTCAAGCATTCCTGCTTAGTCCGATTGTGTGAGTCGCGTGTGAATCTCTGAGTCGCGGCGTGCGTCGTGAGTGGTGGCGCAGTAGTACAAACCCGGTGGCCCGAAATCGAATCCCGCTCACGGCCAACACCAGTGACGATTGTCTGAACCGGTCCCGGGCCTCCCTTAGATCGACTCAGCCTCAAACGAGCACCTGGTGCGGTGTGTAAACATCGCCACTCGGGAGACAAAGGCGGTCGGGCGTGGTGCTGGTCGTGTCGGCCTCCATAAGTGCACGATAACAGGATCTCGCCCCAAAAAGTCTGTGAGGGCTACAAGTGGAATGTTTGTCTTTGTTGCAGTGTGTGACTGTGAGTCTGCGCACGCGTGTGTGGCCGTCACTACGCGTGTGTTTCTCCAGATGTCTAACACTGCTTGGCAGAAACAGGAATTGCTCAAAGCCAGCAATTGCACAAAGAACACAGACCCGCATGAATACCGTGCACAGAAATATCCACGCTCGCCACACCCAGGTATAATCATTTTTATAAAATATTTTTGAGCGGTCATAAATTACTCATTACGACAGTCATGAATTACCGCGCATAATATGTTCCTATGTGCGTTAACGTGGGTATTCCAAATCCTCACGATCAACCAAGGACATCCGTAGCCTCGTCCATGCGTGCAGGTAACGTAGCTTGCGGTTCAACTGGGACGCAGTGGCAGGGAATGGAGGTGCGTGGTGCACGTGTCAAATGCAGTGTCACGTGGCTCACACTGAGGCCTTGTGCCAGGTTAAAAAAAAAAAAAACCTCACCTCTCTTCTTCACAAATATATGATTAAAACATGTTGTATTATGTTACTTATATTCTGCACGACGACAAGTATTCTGTGCTGCGTATTCCGTAGTTTTGCTTTGAATTAGGAGCCATATCTAACAAGGGGGGATCGTTGCTTATAAACATCTGGCAATTCACGGGCATTGCTTCGGGCAATCCTGACTTCCACTTCAACACAATCCAGAGCATGAATGCGACTTGAAGCTGCGTCTCTCCAACAGTCCCTCTGTTCCGTTCGGCAGACGCTGCTGCACGCCGAGCCTTGGCTCAGCTCGTGGTTTGCTAGTCCAACGTTCGCGGATCTCTTCATCGAGATCTTCAGTAGTCGCTTGTAGTTCACCTTCATTGCGAGTTCACAACCTGCTTGGAGGGTTGACTCAACTCATCATCCCTCCATCCGGGGTCCATTCAATAGACTCCGGTGGTTGTTCTCTGGATAAACTTACCCCCGCCATAGGAATGTGGCATTTCCAATGCTAATTCGAGCAGGAAATCACTAGAAACGTATTGAATCGAGCTCTGTTCCTTCAGGAATCGCATCCAAGCACAAAAACCAGCCGATGCAAATGTGAAAAGCAAAATTATGGGATACTGATATCGCGATAATCGCTATATTGTGAAATTAATATCGACTCGTTAAAAAACGCGATGGTGGCCAGACGAGTCTGGAGGAGCGAGTCTGCGGGGTGCAGCGGTCGTGCGGCACTGCGTTGCACGTGGAGGCTGCGCTGCACGTGGCTGCCGCGACCCAGCACTGTGGAGGCAACAGCGAGGATTGGTAGATCTCCGCATGATGTCGGGAAACTTCCTCCCCGAGGGCATTGAGGAGGATACCTCATTCTGGCTCGCCTGGAGAAGACGGCACAGCAAAACGCGGACGAGTCCCCATGTGTTCCGTTGTGTGTGCGATAGAGATGTCGGCCCCCTCGCACGTGGGGATTTCTCCTGGCGCCGCGGTTTCCACTTATGAACGCTTGTAGATTGGCTGAACGCATCTTAGTGTAGGATCCCAGAGCTTGGGCAGTTCTTGGTAGCGCCAGCTCACCGCCTGACTCCTGCGTCATTCCCGCTCGTCTGTGCATCGTCGGCGATCGTGAGAGATGTACATGTTGCACGCATTGCGTACGACGCGACGATATGAGGAAACGAACACGTCGTGAATATGGCTCCTCTTGTTGGGCGCAGAATTCCGCCACCACTCAGCGGTGACGACACAAAGCGACCCGGGGGGCTGCCGGTCCCGTGACTCACGGTGCGCGCGCGCGCGACACTCGCCAACGCGTGCAAAAAAAAGACAAAGATCCCCCGTGTAGCGTTCGAATGCCGTTGGGGCAAGTGCTGTTGGCGAGCACCTATGAAGAACGCCAACGCGGTACACGAACAGGCTGTGGGTGGCTTTGCACCATGCCCGGCCGCTTTTGTCTCCCCAATGCTGATCTTTAGACCGCGCACCAGCTACTTATTTATGGCCGTGTCCGCATAGGGGAGGTCCAGCACCGGTTCAAATATTAATCATTCAGATGTTGGCTCTGAGTGAAACCGAACTCGGTTCGCCGGGTTCGTAGCGCAGTGCGCTAATCACGACACTATCAAAAAGACAAAGATCCCCCGTTATAGCCTGAACAGACTGTAGGGGGCAAGTGCTGTTAGCGAGCACCTATGAAGGCCGGCACGGTACACGAGGGGGCGGGTGGCCAACACCACTCCCGGCCGCCTTTGTCTCCCTAGTGGCGATGTTTACACACCGCACCAGGTACTCATTTGAGGCTGAGTCGACCCAAGGGAAGCCCAGGACCGGTTCAGACAATCGTCACCGGTGTTGGCTATGAGCGTGATCCGAACTCGGGTCTCCGGGTTTGTAGCGCAGCGCGCTAACTGCTGCACCACCGCTGAGTCGATCTCGTCGCGCTAATCACCAAACTATCACTCACAGAGAGACACACAGACACAACACACGCGAACGCACACAACACACACGCGCGCGCCCTCAGTGCCAATGAGGGTGGTGGTGGTGGGCGCGCGCTTGGCACGTGGCGCGCCGGGAGGTTGACAGGGGCCGGGTGACCCATGGGGGGGGGAGGGGGGGAGGGCGCAGCGGCGGTGCCTTTAAAAGCGCGCGGCTCACCCGGCGAGACGTCGACTCCTCCGGTGCTTGCAGCCCCCCTCGCACAATCCACACACACACTCAGCTCGCACATCACACTCGGGGCTGTCTCAGCGTTGCGTGCGCCATGGCACGTGCGATAGGAGTCATCCTCTTGGTCTCTACCTGCCTGCAGTCTTCCTTGCAGAAAGGTACGTGTGGTGGTAGTGCCGGGCCCGATACACACATAGAGGTACGTGTGCTGTGCTAAGGCTGATACACACACAGGCACGCGTGCTGGATTAAGGCTGATACACAGGTACGCGTGCTGGGTTAAGACTGATACACACACATAGAGGTACTCGTGCAGGGCTAAGGCCGACACACACAGGTACGTGTGCTGGACTAAGGTTGATGCACACACAGGTACGTGTGCTGGGTTAAGGTTGATACACACACAGGTACCTGTGTAGGGCTAAGGCTGATATAGGTAGGCTTGCAGGGCGAAGACTAATACACACAGGTACGTGTGCTGGGTTAGGGTTGATACACACACAGGTACTCGTGTAGGGCTAACGCTGATATAGGTAGGCTTGCAGGGCGAAGACTAATACACACAGGTACGTGTGCTGGGTTAAGGTAGATACACACACAGGCACCTGTGTAGGTTTAAGGCTGATATAGGTAGGCTTGCAGGGCGAAGACTAATACACACAGGTACGCGTGCTGGGTTAAGGTTGATACACACACAGGTACTCGTGTAGGGCTAAGGCGGATACTAATAGGTACTCGTGTAGGGCTAAGGCGGATACTAATAGGTACTCGTGTAGGGCTAAGGCGGATACTAATAGGTACGCGTGGTGGGTTAAGGCTGATACGCATTGGTACGCGTGGTAGGTTAAGGCTGATACGCATTGGTACGCGTGGTGGGTTAAAGCTGATACGCATTGGTACGCGTGGTAGGTTAAGGCTGATACGCATTGGTACGCGTGGTGGGTTAAGGCTGATACACACCAGGTATGCGTTCAGGTTTAAGGCTTATACACACAGGTACGTGTGCTGGGCTAAGGGTGATAGACACACGAGTATTGCGCGCGGAGTGTGAGTGAGTGAATGTGAGTGTACGTGAGTGTGAGTTAATGTACGTGAGTGAGTGTGAGTGAGTTTACGTAAGTGGGTGTGAGTTTACGTGAGTGTGAGTGAGTTTACGTGAGTGAGTGTACGTGAGTGAGTGAGTGAGTGTGAGTGAGTGTGAGTAAGTGTACGTGAGTGAGTGTGAGTGAGTGAGAGTGAGTGTAGTGAGTGATTGAGTGAGTGTGAGTGTACGTGAGCGAGTGTACGTGAGTGATTGAGTAAGTGTGAGTGGGTGTACGTGAGTGTACGTTCTCTCTCCCCCTGGACTGCATGGATTTTCTCCGAGTTCTCCGCGTTTCTCCCACAGCTAAAACACACACACATATAATGTAACTTATATTGGCCAAAACACATCCCATTCTGAGAATTGACCTGCAAATTACTCAATTGAGATTACACACGGCAGCAGCGTCTCCTCTTTGCCGCGAAAACCTGGCAGGACCCTCCTAAAGAAGAGTCTTGAGACTCGGTGAGACTTTCCTGTGTAAGCAAGCGTACTAATAATGTCACTGTATCGTGTCTTGTCGTTTCAGGAGTAGGAGGTCCGTTTCGACCTGCGTTCGGAGGAGGTGAGTGTTTCAATCACGATCTTTAGAATGGCCACAACTCACTCCACCTCTGAATCCGTCTACGGAATCACTTTCCGCTGCTAGGGGTGCTGACAACAGCCGCAAGTGCCGTGTTAACATAGCACCTCTCCGTGTGCCCGCGCAATGCCGAGGCCATGTGATGCGGCTTCTAAGGGATAAGGGCAAGACTGGCAATGTGCGCAACAACGCATCAAATTGATCGATTTAACGCGGATTCTTAAGGGTCACAACACGCGCGTCACATCGCGCGTGTAAGAATACGAAATCGACGTTTCCCATCCGTGCAGATGATCCGCTTGATGTTCCATTTAGGGCATTGGGCAGAGCAAAACTGTGCAAATTGGAGAGAGGTTAAAACAAACAAACAAAAACACGAAACAAACGAGACATTCTTTGGGTAAAGCCACGTAAATAAGTTGAAAGAAAATAAAAAATAAAAATAAATATTTTTGTTGTTATCGTCTATTTTGTTATTTTCTTTCAACCTATCTACGTGACTTCACCGAAAGGCCCAAAGAAGACGAATTCCTCGAGTCACGAAAGCTTTAAGTCAATATTTCACCGAGACATAAGTTAGCGGTTGTGACTGTTTTTAACTGCGTTGTGGCCCGCATTCGTCGGTGCCAGGGTTGGGCGTTTTAGGGCGGTTGGCTTCGCGTTACTCCGCGCCTCGCGCCGAGGTCTCAGCGCGCACTCACCGCCGTGTTTCGCGTACGCAGGAGGAGCGCAGTACGGCAACGGCGGTGGTGGCAATGGTGAGTCGAACGCGCAGACGTCGCCCGCGTTGCGAGGGAGAGGGCTGGCTGCGTCTCTCCGGCATCGTTACGCTTTGACCGTCGTGAATGCAACGGGACTGCTCGTCGGAGGAAGGTCGCGCGTGCTTTGGTCGGTGCTGTAAAAAAAATCAGTCAGCAGGGTGGTGTTTGGTCATTTGCATCTGACAGCTCTGACCGCTCACATTCCGCTCGAAGTACACGCGGCTGATTTCTCCAACGTGCCAGAGTGGCCGAACGTTGCATGTAACAGTTTTGCTTCTGATTAATCTCTTCTCTCCACGTTCAAATTTCTCAAAGGGAAAGTGGTGGGAGGGTGGGTGGGGCTCTACTTTCAAGCTTTTAAATAGGGCCCTACATCTATAATATTTTTATTAAAATAAAAAATGAGACTATTTTCCTAGAATAAATAATCATCAAATACGAACGTTCGAGGTCTCCATGAGTGGAGGTGAGGCGGGCAACCGCCCACATCGCTTCGCCCCCCCCCCCACCTTGGATCAATCACCAGAGCCCCCCTCTTGGCAGCAGCCGATTGCTGCCACCGGCCAATTCAAACAGCCCCCCAGTTCCATCTTGCGTTTCCTCGTCCTCTCCCACGCCTGCCCAGCACGTGTATCTTCCGCGCACTACCGTCTGTGCCCACGTGAACTTTAGAACCCGACTCGTAGCGGCAGAACGCCTGCTGCTGCTGCTTGGACGCCACGCGCTCCACACGACCGAGCACGGCGACAACGCTCCATTTGCCGTGCCACTCGCCCGTCCGGCAGCACCTCTTTGTGGCCACCGTTGGTTGGTGCGATGGTGCTCGTCCATTGTCACATCCAGAGCCGGAGAGTGATCTCCTGCAGCTCACACGGCCATTGAGGGCATTGGTGCTCATCTCCCGTTTACAGCCCTGCAGAGCCAGTGGTGGAATTTCCACATTCCTGTGGCGGGGGGCAAGTCTCTGCATAGGACATTGTCACATTACAATTCCTGAACCTCATCCCACAGCTCCCTAGATTTATCATTCATTGGCAGAGCTTTGGCATGACACTTTGAGATTAACACTGAAAAGCGCTGACGTGTAATTGGGCCATGCTTGTACGTGTGTGCACGCTTGTCTAAGTGTGGGTATGTTGCATGTGTTCTCCAGGTTACGGTGGCCCACCAAACCCACATGCATTGAAGGCTGGAGGTAAATTCAGCGTTAAATTACAATTTTATGCATCGTGTTTATTCACTACAAAATTTCACCTGGAACAAGCCTTCAGATTGAACATCTCATTTGCAAGTGTGTCCTGGGGTAATCAAGCATACTGATCTAGTTGCCAAGATATAAATAAATAGGGCGGCAAGGCGACAGTGCAGTGGTAACACTGGTGCCTTGCGGCAAGAAGGGTCCTGCGTTCAATTCCCGACTTGGCCGCCTTTCTGTTAGAATGGAACTGATATTGGGCAAATAGCCCAATGCTGAAAAAATGACACTGCAAATTATTTAATTGGGATTGCACACAGCGGCAACAACGCCCCCCTACTGCAAAAGAAGTTGACATGACTCTCCTAAAACGTAGTATTGAGACTCTGCGAGGCTTTTCTTTTTAGGAAATGAGAATCTTGAAATGTGTAAATCAGGTCGCAATGTCTAAACGTGATACATGTGATTGCACACCTGCTAACCTTCTATCTCGTTTCATCAGGATATGGCCAAGGGGCAGGAGCTGCGCTTCCTTCAAGAACAGCTGGCCCTGGGGGGTACGGTCAGGGGGGCGGTGGACCTGGGGGGTACGGCCCAGGGGCAGGAGGTTACGGTCCAGGGGGAGCAAAGGTCGGTAATGGTGCAGGCGCAGGCAGGCCCAATGGATACGGTCCAGCGATCGGAGGGCCAGGCGCATTTGTACCCAGGGCAAGGCCAAGTGTATACGTTGCTGCGCCAAGTAGAGCGAATGGATATGGTCCAGGCGGAAGCAAAGCTGGTGGTCCAGGAGCTGGGGGACCTGGGGGTTATGGTCCAGGAGCTGGAGGACCTGGTGGCTATGCACCAGCAGCAGGAGGGCCTGGTGGCTATGCACCAGCAGCAGGAGGGCCTGGTGGCTATGCACCAGCAGCAGGAGGGCCTGGTGGCTATGCACCAGCAGCAGGAGGACCTGGTGGCTATGCCCCAGCAGCAGGAGGACCTGGTGGCTATGCACCAGCAGCAGGAGGACCTGGTGGTTTTGGCCCGGCCGCAAGTAAAGCTGGTGGTTATGGTCCAGGAGCTGGGGGACCTGGTGGTTATGCACCAGCAGCAGGAGGGCCTGGTGGCTATGCACCAGCAGCAGGAGGGCCTGGTGGCTATGCACCAGCAGCAGGAGGACCTGGAGGCTATGCACCAGCAGCAGGAGGGCCTGGTGGCTATGCACCAGCAGCAGGAGGAGCTGGTGGATTTGGCCCAGCAGCAAGCAAAGCCGGTGGTTATGGTCCAGGGGCTGGAGGACCTGGTGGCTATGCACCGGCAGCAGGAGGACCTGGTGGCTATGCACCGGCAGCAGGAGGACCTGGTGGCTATGCACCGGCAGCAGGAGGACCTGGCGGTTATGGTCCAGCAGCAGGAGGGGCTAATGGATATGGCCCTGGGGCTAGTAAAGCGGCAGGAGGACCTGGCGGTTATGCACCAGCAGCAGGAGGACCTGGACAGTCTGGTCCAGGGGCAGGAGGACCAGGCGGGAATGGGGCTGGAGGTAAGCCTAACGGACATGCCCCAGCAGCCGGTGGCCAACCTGGCTTTGCACCAAGGCCTAGCGCATTTGGTCCAGGGTCAGGGGGACCTGGATCTTATCCAGGAGCAGGAGCTGGTGGATATGGACAAAAGGCATCTGGCTATGCCCCAAGGGCAGGGGGACCTGGTGGTTATGCTCCAGCTGCGAGGAGGCCAAATGGCTATGCCCCAGCGGTAGGGAGGCAAAACGGATATGGACCGGCGGCAGGGAGACCTGGATATGGTCCAAGTTCAGGAGGAGCTGGAGGACCTGCCCCAGGTGACCAGAAACCAGCAGGTGGCCAGAAGGCAGGTGGTGCTGGTGGGTACGGACCTGGGGCTGGAGGAGGAGGATACGCGCCCGCAGCCGGAGCTCGCTCACAGTTCTACATGAAGCTCTCCTCTAAGTGTTCCCAAAGGAGACAGCTCGGTAAGAGTGCGTGAGACGCGCGTCTTGTGAGTGGCTGTGAGTGTGTGGCATTCGTGTTGACTTCTGATGCGCAATAGAAATTCAGGCCCAATGCCTGCCGTAGTCTGCCACCTGCCCTGCTCTGCTCTACCCACTGCCCCATCTGCTCTACCCACTGCCCATCTGCTCTATCCACTGCCCCATCTGCTCTTGCCCATTGCCCTTCCCTCTTCCGCACTTGGTTGCTCCCACTTCCAAATTCGTTCTGTTCGGCCGCCTACGGGCGACGGTGGCGTCGTGATGATCTGCAGCCTCATGACGCCACCGTACAGGCATCTCAATGCGATGCTCTTCTCACTCTAAAGGGTGCAGGCCAATTGCCTGTTTGAGCACTAGGAATTAGACATTTTTTAATGTGGTACTCGTTAAAATATTTAATTCGCAACCTGTGCGTGACAGTATACGTTCGTGTATTTCTGTGTCCATCCCCGTATCCTCGATAAACGCTCATTTGTGTCTCTTCACCGACCCTGTCGCCCACTCTGTCTAGCAGTGGCCAATGGCAACGGTGGGTACGGCGGCAACGGTGGTGGCCGCTCCAACGGTACGTGTGGATCAGGGCCGCAGCAGTAACTCGCCCCTCACAGCAACACGAGTCTGGGTTCAATTCCCCACTCGGGTGCCTTTTTCGGTGTAGAGTTTTTTATTGTTTCTCCCCCTTTTCTGCATGGGTTTCCTACGGATTCTCCATTTTCCTACCATAGCTACCCCCCCCCCCCCCCCCCCCCCCCCCCCCCCCAGTATTGGCCAGGCCTCGCAATGCTGAAAATATTACACTGCAAATTACTCAATTGAGTATAAGAGTCTTGAGATTCATTGAGGCTTTCCGGGTGAACTGTCGCAGTAGTAACACGACGTAATCCACAATTATACACGATGGCACGCGTGTGCACACGCGTGCCATCGTACTATAACATCAAACCCGTTCACTTGTTTCATGTATTCCGTTGCATAACTTGGGCCTCTCTCCTGCATTGCCCCCAACGGGCTCCACGCAAGTCGCCAGGGTGGATCCGGTTGAATGTGTCCAGTTCTGGTAACACGTGGGTCAGGCTGGAGGCGCGCGTGTGAACGTCCGTGTGGACGCTGCGTCGTGTCAGTTCAGTTTGAGGACCGCGTGGTTTCCGTGTGCGATTTCGTTGCAGGCAATGGTGCTGGAGCCAACGGGGCGAAACCTTGTAAGCGCTCCGCTTCGAACCAACCGCGAACACGGCAATGAGCACTCACAGTCATCGTACACGTGCTTATGTGCTTCTCTAACACGGCACTTTGTACACTTTAACATACATGAGCTCCATAGTTGGTATGCATATATTGTTGACTTCGGGTATCTACGCGTTAAGTATACCTAATTAAGGACACACGTAAGCAGCATTTGTGTGTAGAAATTTAGTTTCAGAAATTCAAAGGGTACTTTGAGGTGCCCTGAAACTACTAGCACTCAGCACCCTGAGACCTCCATGAAGCCACCTCAATTTCGATGATTTAATACCACACCCAGAATAAACTATTATGCTCACACAGTTAACCATACTGAACACAAACTTAAAAAAATGTAAACCTGTGTTAAACGCAGCAACGCTCAGGTGTACATGGAGGGTCTTGGTGGTTCTGTGTGAGTGCGTTACCATTGAGGTACAGCCGTTTGATTCTGTTCCATATTAGTAGAGGCTAGTAGATTGGCCATGGATGATGATGATAATTTACAGTCATTGTTGACCCAGCGAAGCTTCTTTCAGCGTCGTAACTAATTTTGTGTTTTTAGAATGATCTCGCTTGGGACGTTTCCACAATCTACTTGTATCTCTGCGTGTGTGAGCAAACCAGAGAAGCCCCGTGTATGTGATGAACGACCACTCAGACTCCGCTCACATAGGTCAACAAGTCCTTTGCAAAGCCACCAGGGAAAAACGTCTGGCCAAGATAAACAAACATCTTCGAATAGTCACTAAATGTGTCTTGCAACATATTTCCTTTGTAGATTTTTGTCTGCATGTCTGTCTTTTAATCATGCTACCTGACACTTTGACCACACCCTCAGGCTATCTTCTCTGTTCCTCAAACCGTTTAACTTTTTGGCAGATGGAGGACCTCAGTCGACGCCGGCAGCAGCAGTCCTGGGAGGAGGCTCAAGAGCAGTGCCGGGAGATTACTTCGGAGCTAAGGCTGGGAGTCGCCCGGCAATCGCCGGAGGGGCAGGGGCAGGGCCCGGTCAGGGCAAAGGCCAAGGCTTGAGTTCTCCTGTCGGTGCAGGTCCAGGGATAGGGGCAGGCCCAGGGGCAGGCCCAGGGGCAGGCCTAGGGGCAGGCCCAGGGGCAGACGCGGGCGTGAAGGCAGCTAAAACATCCTATGGTGGTGGCAATGGATACGGCAATGGACAAGGAAATGGCCACAACAACGGATATGATAATGGAGATGCAGAGGAATATTCCAATGCTCAGGCTATTATTCAGGTTAATGGATATGCAAACGGTTACAAAAATGGAGAAAAAGGACACACAAATGGGAATGCTAATGGGAATGGAAATGGAGCTGGATATTCGAATGGCCAAGCAAATGGACATAACAACGGCCACGCCAATGGGAATGGGAATGGTTATGGGGCGGGACCTGCTGAGGCAGGTTACGGGCCAGAGGCTAGTGTCGGTGCCAAGCCAGCCCTCGGTGCCGGCCACGGCTTGGGTTATGGGCCTGGTGGGGCTGGTTACGGAAAGAGTAAGCAGTACAAGGGCTAGTGGACACGGCATGACAGATTCGCATATTTCACGTGTAACAATATTCGCATAATCACATTGAGCAGAAGTGTAGTCTGAACGGTTTCACTGCGAAAGATAAACACACACACAGTGACACATCAACTGCATTTTGAACAGTGCTGCGGTGTTTAAATTAAGGTAAATATAACTTGGCATTGCTTGATCGTTTATTTCAGCCATGAATGCTCCTGGGTAAATTCCCAGAAGCATTCTTGCCACAAGCCAATGAGCAATTGTACGCATTTAAAACAAAATGATACTTTATTTGATACTTGAAGGCAGTCTTCAATCCCAGCAGCATGTGCACAACAAACCCTTTAGATGTGTAGTGTTCTCCATCGATAAAACCCCATGCACGTCTTCTCACGCAAATGACAGAGTCAGTAGCACAGCACTATCCTGCAGATTTATATTTTTAGATATTTTCAGTTTAATATCTATACATAACAAAAGCCTGAAATCAAACAAATTATTTGATTTTTCGAGAACATGAAAAGTAATTAGACAATAATGCACCTTATGGCGGTACCTCGGGGTCCCGAATAAATGGAAGTCAAATCGTAATGAATTAATTTATTTTCGGCGACTCCGTCCCCACCGCGCACATAAACGCCGCGACCCGCCTGGCGCGGATCGTTCTGTTGTCGTGTCATGTCCAAGCACAGCAGCGAGGACGAATGCGCAGAAGAAACAAAAAATTGAAACTTTGATTGGCGCATCGCGTAGAGCTCGTCAAGAGGAACAGATCGCCGTATCGTTCGCCTTCAACAGACATTAAATGACATCGCAACGCAGTTTATGTGAGTGCCGGGGGCTGATGGGACTCCGGGGTCCCGCCATAAGGTTCATATTTTGGTAAATTTGTATTCTTTTTTTTATTTATATGCTTTAATTACCATAGTCTCTACGACATAGTATGGGCCTATCGTGTTCAGCTCGAATGGCTTCGGGTAGATAATGCAATCAGGATTGTTAAAATTAGCACCCAGATTGTGCCAACCCGTTTTATTTTTATGGACCGGTTACAGGCCCTGCGTTACAACTCCTACAAATCCCTCGTGTCTTGACAGTCGGGAATGTTGCTAGGCTCACAAGTCTCTCGTCATGTTTTGACAACACTTTAGTTCAACAAACTCGTCACATTAATGTGCATAACGCTGCAACAGAAGATTAAATCACAATTTGCAAAGCGACAACGGTAATGCGTACAACGCAAACGTTCATTGCCGCTGGAGAATCCATCCTGGCCCAGATCACCGCAACCGATTACACTTCTGAAGATCTTGCGCTAGAACTCTCCTCATAATCCCAGGTGCTGTGTGGGAGCAACCATTGTGAAAGCTGCCGTTTGGCGCTGTGTACAGCGTCGTGGCTTTGTGTCCGTCTGTGTAGTTTTAAAATTCTACAAACAGTGAGGATTGGCGCTTTGCTTTACCTACCCCTTCAGTTACGTCCTTCAGTGTAAGTATCAGTGCCATGCAAACTGATGGCTTACAGCGAAGTGATGCACACCTCTCCAGCTGAGTTTATTTCTTGCGTCACGAGTGTTGTCGGAAACGTTGTGGGTGTATGTCTTGAACACTATCTCGATGTTACACACACACATGCGTTAAGTCAAGCAAACTATTGTGCGAGTCTCTCATGAAGGTAGTTCGGCTTTCAATGCTGAAAGGTGCTATGTTACACAAAACGTGTGATCGTGTATGATGCAAACATTTTTAAAATTCAAATTTATTAAACGTGTGATTTTTTTTTTAATGAACGCATGTCGATGACATTTAGAATTGTACATACTGAATGAAATGGTATTCACATTAATGAAAGCAACACTTCGTTCATGAGAGATGCAATTCATTTGGGGGTGCGTTCGGTGCAAGGCTTGTGTCCCGTGCTCGAGGGACAGACTTGGAGCAGTGTGAGATTCATCCGGCAAAAAACCGGGCCCTGCTCGTTTTTGGTGCTTTTACTCCACAGAATGTTATATGCCCTCGTTCAAAAAGACGAGCAACGTTTACTGCTCACGACCGTGTCCGGTGGTTCCCCCTCCCCGCTCCCTGGTGTTGTCTCTAGAGGAAACATACAGCGAGACGAATGCAGATTTAAAAATATATATATACATTTCGCCAGTTCTGGTGTTTGCCAGTGACTCCTCTGCTAAAGCAGTGAATCATGACCCACACGCGCGTGTGTCCCTCCTCTCACGTGAAGTGCAGTGACTTGAGATCTAGCGATGTGTAACATCTCTAAGTAAAAGTGTTTGTTTCCAACAACGTTTTCAAGAGTTTTACTTGTCTCCTGGTACAGTGTTTACACGATGACTTGGCCACTGTTATATTTTCAAAGCTTCCCTGTATGATTATTATTATTACCCCAATAAAGTAAACGCATGAGCACACCAAACAATATTCGTTTAGTCAAGCAGACAATCGCGTTTCATTAAAATGTGAAAATATCCGGCCGTGAAACTTACAGCAAATCACCGTTTGTTAAATCATCATCCCAAAGCACTCTTATCCTCATGCTACATGAACATGCGTTGTGCTTGTGACAAAACTGGTGTAGCTCTTCAAGTCGTTTTTACAACCCTTTTCGAATCGCATAATTAACCGAAAAAAGAACCTGAGATTCCTGAGCTATGTGAATGTTTAACGTAGGGAACTGCGTAATGAATCATGGTTATCCCTTGCCGCGCAAAATGTAAATCGTTCGAGATCATTGGGGACAATAACGACAAATGTAGAGGCCAACCAACTTCGGGAACAAACCGGTTTTAGGAAAGGTTTCTCTACCATTGATAACTTGCAGACTATATTCAACAGATTCTGGAAAAACCCAATGCATGTCGATATCATTGCGACGTGCCTCTGTAGACTAGGAAGAAGCATTCAAGCTCTCAAAACCCAGTGCCTGAATACGTAATATCTATTTTTAAATACTAATAAAAAACATGTAAAAACAGAACCACACTGATATTACATAGAGAAAGTACCAACATACACAAAGTCAATGCTCTCGCCAAGTTGTTTACAGTGACGTTTGATTTCTTTCATGACAATGAGTTCGGGGAAACAAATGCATGGATATCAATGCGCAATAACAACCGTGTCAGATTTTTATGCTGATGTGACAATGATCATAACGTCAAATAATAAATGAGCTGCTGGAAATGTAAGCGTGTGTGACCGTTCGACATTTGTGCTTGTTGTGAATGGGTGAGTTTGATGCAAAGCTATCACTCCAATCATGAAGAAGGACCCTCTTGAGGAGCCTTTCAAAACCATCACTTTACCCTACATTTCGGGGATCACATAAAAAGATCTCCAAAATCTTAAATAAACACAAGATCCAGGTCCGATTCAACATATTACATAAAATCCGTGATCTGGTTCCGTCTGTAAAAGATGTGATTCCGGACATACAGTACCCTGGCGTCTACAAACAAAGTTGCCTCTGTGGTAGTAGTTAAATTGGAGAAACCAAACGACATGTCTCGGACCGCATTCGTGAACACAAAGCAGACCTTAAACACGGTAGGACCAACACCTCGGCCGTGACAGATCACTGTTATAATTCAGTAGGCTCACATGACATTGACTTCTCCAAGACAGAGGTTCTCTGCAAGCCATCTGGCTACCATGAGAGATTCGTTCATGAGGCTATCCACATATACAAACACAGAGACAATTTCAACCGAGAAGATGGATTCTGGCTTAGCAATCATTGGAAGGATTTGATAAACCATTTCGGGTTTTAATTGATTGTTTACGCTTACAGTGGCTTTCAGACCACATCCATTATTTTCGTCTCTCCCTCCTCTTTTCCGAACATAGATGGACTCGTCCATCTGAATAACTGCCAAATCGCTCTCCGTGGTGCTAACGTTTAAAAAAACCGCCACTTTTTTCAAATTGTCTTGCTGTGGTTTTCACACCTGATGATGATTGCTTGTGTTGAAGTCAAAACGTCGTGAGAATTTTATTGTTTTATATTTTTATTATTGTATTGTTTCCCTTCTACGTGACTTTACCGAAAGAACCAAGAATATGAATCCCTGCAGTCACGAAAGCTTTAAATCAAAATTTAAGACTGCAAGAGTTTCGCCAAGTGTGTGCTTGTGACTAGAGTTTGGTGTGTGTGAGTGTAAGGGGTAGTCGGGTGGTGTTGTGGTCACGATGTAGGATGTACAAGCACCGTGCCTGTATGATAGGGCCATGCACGACAGGAAACAAAGCTCGTGGTAATAGCAGCTTGAGGCCTGCGGTAAAGAATATCACAGACCTGAGTGCAATATCCCACGCCCCATAATATCCATAATAGAGGTCTTTGGGTTAGATCGCGTAAATATAAATGTGTCGTTAAATCCGCCGCCACCCGACATAGCCAATTAGTAAGGTTTGTCAGGGAAACAAAACATGCCAATTAGTTGCGAGTACAGGACACCGGTGTGTTGGAGAGTAAACCCGCAACATTTACCATTCGAGTACGACATTTCGCCAGTTAATAACAACTAGCATTATCAGGCGACAGCCAGAGTCGTGGAAAAATCCTCCTGTTTCGTTCCTTAAATAGAGGAGATAAATGCGATCTCGTCACTTGTGAGCCAATCAAATGCGGTGGACAGAGAGGGGGGCGGGGTGTAATGTATGCATACAAATTACAATGGATATTACAATGGATACCCATTCACATTTGCATGATGGTTGTGGTCGCGAAAAGCCATTCCACCCTGGCGTGTGCCTTTTGAACACAGTGCCAAATGCCTTCTCATCACTTGCTCCCTTGGGCAATGTCAATAGAGTCAATGAGAGACTTGATACTCCTCGACTATTATAATAAATGTTATGAACCCTGTCTCACCTTCGTGTAGACAGTAATCTCTAGGAGCACCCGTTCTAAACCTTGTGGCGAGGCCTTGGCAATGCATTGGTGTAGTCTGAATTCAGAAGAGCAATCGGCGAGCAATTAGCACAGCTTTTTAGACAGATTATTTGGTGCAAAAATTCAGAGGTGGGGGACAGATGGTCAATGTTAAACAAAATTCAAAGTTATTTTTTGTTCGTTCATATGATTATTTGGGGGCGGTGCATATCTGTTCACAGCCCTGAGTCAGTGGCGAAAATTCCACATTGTTATGGCAGATGTAATTCTACACTAAACCCTAAGCCTGCGTGCCCAGCCAACGGACACCCAAGCAGCTTCTGTGTGGCCGTATATAGGGGGCTAAACGTGCACGACACGGGCTGGAGAGGAGATGAAGCTGATGCGGTTACATGAAGATGTCGAGGAGCCGAGTGAACTTGTCCATTACCGATACCAGCGGTGTTAAGACAGACCCTTACGGAGGAGGCTCGTGTAGGACCACTACAGGAAAATTTGGAGCCAGTAGGGCTTCCCCTACTGCAACAAAAACCTGGCAGGACCCTCCTGAAAATGAGCCTTGAGACTCGGGGAGGTAGAAATAATACTGTATTGATTACCGTTTCGAGTTTTGTCTCGAAATAGGAGCCGGGCTTAAAGAGGGAACTTGTATCGCTGGCGTTGAACCCACAGCGGCATTGGGCGCTGTGATCAGACTGGTTTAATTGCTGTTATTGTAATAACGATTACATACCGTGTCAACCCATACGATTTACCCCGTGATCCTGTACATGGAAATAGAACGTTCAGCTCTATACGGCATGCAGCCGCCGTTTCAATACGGGCAAAACATTGTTTGGTCTGTTTGTTTGTGTTTCTCCCTTGTGATGATGGGACTGACATGGGACCATCATGATGTATGTTAACAGCTTCAGAAAGTCTCAACTTGTTCGCCATCATTGTCAACGCATGCCTGGAATCTTCTCCAGGTGGTCCCCAGAGCCCGGAGGCACAACATTGCTTGTGGAATTGTTGCAATTTTTCAGAAGCGTTAAAAACATTTTTTTTAATTTTGAAGCACACAGCATAACCACGTGAATTCCCACCGCCGAGTGTAGGAATCGATAGAGGCGATTCTCGGCGCGTAATTTTTCGCGCGCGGAATCGATCCGCAAGGCGCCGCGAGCGCTCCGCGGCCTGGCCCGGGTCAACATCGCGGAGACGGCGCTAGGCGAGGCGCTGGATCCGTGGCGTTAGTGAGGGCGTTAGTTCGTAGCGGAGCGTTAGTTCGTAGCGATAGTGAGGGTGTTAGTGGGGGTGTTAGTTCGTAGCGGTAGTGGGGGCGTTAGTTCGTAGTGATAGTGGGGGCGTTAGTTCGTAGCGTTAGTTCGTAGTGATAGTGACGGTGTTAGTGGGGGTGTTAGTTCGTAGCGGTAGTGGGGGCGTTAGTTCGTAGTGATAGTGGGGGCGTTAGTTCGTAGTGATAGTGGGGGCGTTAGTTCGTAGCGTTAGTTCGTAGTGATAGTGGGGGCGTTAGTTCGTAGTGATAGTGGGGGCGTTAGTTCGTAGTGATAGTGGGGGCGTTAGTTCGTAGTGATAGTGAGGGTGTTAGTTCGTAGTGATAGTGGGGGCGTTAGTTCGTAGCGATAGTGAGGGCGTTAGTTCGTAGTGATAGTGAGGGCGTTAGTTCGTAGTAATAGTGGGGGCGTTAGTTCGTAGTGATAGTGAGGGGGTTAGTTCGTAGTGATGGTGGGGGCGTTAGTTCGTAGTGATAGTGGGGGCGTTAGTTCGTAGTGATAGTGGGGGCGTTAGTTCGTAGTGATAGTGGGGGCGTTAGTTCGTAGTGATAGTGGGGGCGTTAGTTCATAGCGTTAGTGAGGGCGTTAGTTCGTAGTGATAGTGGGGGCTTTAGTTCGTAGCCTTAGTGGGGGCGTTAGTTCGTAGTGATAGTGGGGGTGTTAGTTCGTAGCGATAGTGGGGGCGTTAGTTCGTAGCCGCTAGTCTCGGCGCTTCGTGTTCAGGAGAAACCCGCGGCCCGGCGGACGAAGCGACTCGAGGTGCAGCCCGGCGAAAGCCGTAATCACCCTACATACACACACCCTAATCACCCTACAAACACACACCCTGCTCACCCTACATACACACACCCTACTCACCCTACATACACACACCCTACTCACCTTACATACACACACCCTACTCACCCTACATACACACACCCTGCTCACCCTACATACACACACCCTGCTCACCCTACATACACACACCCTCCTCACCCTACATACACACACCCTACTCACCCTACATACACACACCCTACTCACCTTGCATACACACACCCTACTCACCCTACATACACACCCTACTCACCCTACATACACACACCCTACTCACCCTACATACACACACCCTACTCACCCTACATATACACACACCCTGCTCACCCTACATACACCCTGCTCACCCTACATACACACACCCTACTCACCCTACATACACACACCCTACTCACCCTACATACACACACCCTGCTCACCCTACATACACACACCCTAATCACCCTACATACACACACCCTGCTCACCCTACATACACACACCCTACTCACCCTACATACACACACCCTACTCACCTTACATACACACACCCTACTCACCCTACATACACACACCCTGCTCACCCTACATACACACACCCTGCTCACCCTACATACACACACCCTCCTCACCCTACATACACCCTACTCACCCTACATACACACACCCTACTCACCTTGCATACACACACCCTACTCACCCTACATACACACCCTACTCACCCTACATACACACACCCTACTCACCCTACATACACACACCCTACTCACCCTACATATACACACACCCTGCTCACCCTACATACACCCTGCTCACCCTACATACACACACCCTACTCACCCTACATACACACACCCTACTCACCCTACATACACACACCCTGCTCACCCTACATACACACACCCTGCTCACCCTACATACACACACCCTGCTCACCCTACATACACACACCCTACTCACCCTACATACACACACCCTACTCACCCTACATACACACACCCTGCTCACCCTACATACACACACCCTGCTCACCCTACATACACACACCCTGCTCACCCTACATACACACACCCTGCTCACCCTACATACACACACCCTGCTCACCCTACATACACACACCCTGCTCACCCTACATACACACACCCTACTCACCCTACATACACACACCCTGCTCACCCTACATACACACACCCTGCTCACCCTACATACACACACCCTGCTCACCCTACATACACACACCCTACTCATCCTACATACACACACCCTACTCACCCTACATACACACACCCTACTCACCCTACATACACACACCCTACTCACCCTACATACACACACCCTGCTCACCCTACATACACACACCCTGCTCACCCAACATACACCGTACTCACCCTACATACACACACCTTGCTCACCCTACATACACACACCCTGCTCACCCTACATACACACACCCTGCTCACCCTACATACACACACCCTGCTCACCCTACATACACACACCCTACTCACCCTACATACACACACCCTACTCACCCTACATACACACACCCTGCTCACCCTACATACACACACCCTACTCACCCTACATACACACACCCTGCTCACCCTACATACACACACCCTTCTCATCCTACATACACACACCCTGCTAACCCAACATACACCGTACTCACCCTACATACACACACCCTGCTCACCCTACATACACACACCCTGCTCACCCTACATACACACACCCTGCTCACCCTACATACACATACCCTGCTCACCCTACATACACACACCCTGCTCACCCTACACACACCCTACTCACCCTACATACACACACCCTGCTCACCCTACATACACACACCCTGCTCACCCTACATACACACACCCTGCTCACCCTACATACACACCCTGCTCACCCTACATACACACACCGTACTCACCCTACATACACACACCCTGCTAACCCTACATACACACACCCTGCTCACCCTACATACACACACCCTGCTCACCCTACATACACATACCCTGCTCACCCTACATACACACACCCTGCTCACCCTACACACACCCTACTCACCCTACATACACACACACCTGCTCACCCTACATACACACACCCTGCTCACCCTACATACACACACCCTGCTCACCCTACATACACACACCCTACTCACCCTACATACACACACCCTACTCACCCTACATACACACACCCTGCTCACCCTACATACACACACTCTGCTCACCCTACATACACACACCCTGCTCACCCTACATACACACACCCTGCTCACCCTACATACACACACCCTGCTCACCCTACATACACATACCCTGCTCACCCTACATACACACACCCTGCTCACCCTACATACACATACCCTGCTCACCTTAAACCATAGCCAAAACCACTGACCTTAAACGCTGTACTTTGTAGGCCTGATTTGTTCTCCATGGTCTGTTTTTGGTACGCTGGCGCACAGGTGAATAGTGGCTTTTCATATCAAACCAAACCATAATACAATTCCAGAGTTTACTGTGATTGAACCATTGCTGCCAAGATGCACTCACAAGCCATGTGGGCTGGCTGATGGTTTGTTTGTTTACACGAGGTGCAGCGAGCGCACATGGCTTGCGAGTGCATCTTTTCGTGCAAACACACCATCAGCCATATGTGGAAACTAGTTGCAGGCGATTTAAGTATACTCTCAACTCTAGGTACAGTGGGTCAGAGGTCACATGTTTGATCAACTATACCTGATGTGCTGTTTTAAATAATATTTGAAAGATTACGTGACAAGAGTGCTGAAATTTGGTTTGGCCGTTCGTCAAGACTACAATTGCACAAAATGTCATCAAATTAATTGGAGTTCGGTAAGAGCAGTGTTGATTTATTCTCGTATGGCCTGGATCCCAGCAGCATGGAGGCCACTGCGTTGCCAGATTACTGCTCTGTTGCTTATGTATGTATGTATGTTGAACTTCTTTCGCACCGTACATAGCCAACCGTGCTCATCGGAGGTGCTTAGAAAATATAATTTTTAGCAAACTACAATGACCCGATTTACTAGTTCCACAAACGTCTGATTAAAAAAAGTATAAATACTATATATGTTTGTAAGATATTCTCAATGTGAAAATTCTAATATGCTATTTTTAGGAGGCTAATTAAAACTTTTAATTTGAAATGGAATGTTTTTTTTATTGTTATTCCACCCTTTAAGAGTAAAACAAATGGAATGTATAATATCCATCTTATTTTGCATTACAACTTAAAAAAAAATACACATTGAGAACCTTAAGTAATAAATGTGTTGGGAATGTTCATTCCTTCCGCTCTTTGATGTGTTCACCATCCCCGGTGTTATGTGCAGGTAACGTCAGTATCATGGAGACTGCGGTTGAGACCGTAGCGAGTGAACTGTCGTGCATGAACACTGGACATGACGATGGTGAACAGGCTCAACAACCCCAAGAGAACGTTGGCGAGAGTGAAAAAGCAGCGGGTGAGTTATCTTGACCACTGTGTTGGCCTCAAATAATAACAAAAGTCGCCTTGTACCATATCCAGTATTCACTGGCTTTCGATGAGAGAGAACAACTCGGAGGCGTGAGGAATTGCAGACAAGCAGGAAGGCAGTAGCCAGGCGGTGAGCCGGTGCTTCCAACAATTACCCAAACTCTGTGGCCCTCTATATATTAAGATGCTTTCAGCCAATCTGCGAGTGTTATTAAATGTGGGAGGAAACTGGAGCACTCAGAGGAAACCCTCGTACGCGATGGGGCAATATCTCTATCCCATACAGATGGATCAAAGATGAGTCCACATTTTGCTGTTCCACCTTCTCCTGGCAAGCATAGCAGGGCACCTCAATGCCCACGGGAAGAGAGTGTCATAACATTTGTGCGATCCACTAATCCACACCTCCACAGTTCTGGATTACAAGCGTACGCCACCACCGCCCGGATAAATAATAATAAATAATAAACACGTAATCGGTATTCAGAGACGATTATTTATAAGCTGTAAGATAAAAAAAAATTCCATGGCTAATTAGAATAAAACTTTAAATCTCATACCATCAGGGGCCATGCTGTAGTGTATAGCCTCGGCATCTATAAATATACCCTGCATTCACTGTTTTACATCCTATCCTGTATTGCTTGAAATGTATGGTCATCAATTATATTAAATTCAAGGTTAAGAGATTTCTATGGTCCTTTCCCTCTGCTTAATCCCCCAACTGTTGACAAAGTTGGCATCTCCACTCTTCAAATTATTGTTTCAGTTCACTTGTAATTAGAAAAACAATTCTCACAAATAAATGTAGCAATTAGATCGGCATTTTGGCAAAAATTTCCACCGGATCTCGAAATGGCCTAACCCAAAAATGTTATTACGATTCGGTGATATTTCTGCTTACCAATGTATATGTCATTTATACATCTTCTCTAGGTGACAGTGATTGGTGGATGGGCAGCAGTGATGATGAGGAAATTAAGCCTGGGTGCCCAGACTGGATGCCCAGCCCAGAACAGATTCGTACTCTGTTTGAGTGTATCGCTAAGGAAGTAAGTTTTGTGAATCAATCACAGTAGTTTTACTCCTAACACTCAATACACACCTTCATGGAAGATAATGTTTAACGAATACATAATTAATATACACAAAATATCAACATTATGTATAAAATGATGTGTTTTTTTTTATCAGTCCATTGAACCCCTGGACCAATGTGGACTGGCTCTTCTTTATGGGTGCATGAGCCGAGTCCATTCGAATAAACAACTGCTGCTCACATGCCAAACGATGTAGATAAGTTCTAGATTCGTAGATAAGAGCAGCTGCCCCCCCCCCCCCCCCGCTGTGTGGGTCATGGGGTTTTTTTGTCCACTGGTCAGTGTGGGTCAATGACAGTAGGGAGCATAGCTGTGGGAGCATAGAAGTACAGTAGTACAACAGTGGGGTTTGCTGCACTGTCCTCTGCTGCCCATCACATAGCCCCACATCCGAGTTTAGCCTGTTTGTATATGAAAACCTACGTTTTAAGTTCAACAGATGTAAGTTAATTTAAGGGAAGACCAGTGTGATTAGAGCAGGGAAGGATTGTAGTGTTTGGGTTTTTGTGGTGAGGCAGCTAATTGAGAATGCAAAGGATCCAAATGAATTGGCTTTAATGCTGTGTTCATCTGTTTGCAGACAAGTTTCATGTTCTGCAATAGCTTAAAACCCTCTTATATCACGTGACTTAAGCATTATTAAAATCATTCTAATATAAATTGCATTTGGATAGATGGCAGGGAATACCCATCTCACTCTTTTTCACAAATGTAGCTGCCGACATACCTCTTGGCATTGAATTATGGCATCTGTCATGACACGATTTGAGTCTCTAATTTAAAAGGTATTCTAAGCAAATGAATAAGTGAATACCATTAAAAGAATATCATGTTCAGGTTTATTTTGTTTTAAGCTGGTGAGAACTCAAGAGATATGGATAGTGTCTTTGGGACTTTACCATTAAAAGTAATATCTTTTCAATGTACACTCTGTGTTAAGGGTTCACTTCCACTAAAAATGACACATTTGCCTCGGCGACCGCCAACCCCGGAACCCCAATGTCCGGATGAACCGGAAGAAGAAGGCCGAACAGAGCAGCCTGATGGGCAAAAGAGTGAAACACTGGACGGAAAGTAAGTCTCACGGTCATCTGTAAAACCCGGCCAGGTGGCTGAGCCATAGAGCGAGTGGCTCGCAATCGGAAGGTTGAGAGTTCAAATCTTGGCTGGGGGTTTAGTTAGCGCATTAGTCTTCCAGGGTTGATAAAATAAGTACCACCGTGTGGGCAAGTCAAAAGTGGTTGCCCTATGGATATATTTGCTCCCCCCTTAGGAATGGCGAATTTCCACTACTGGCTCAGGGCTGTAAACAGGTCATGATTACCAGTGCCTCAAAGCGAGTTTAAGCAGGAATTACATTTTAAAAAATGGTAACTGCTTGTCTGTCAGCCAAATTGGCCCAGTGAATGCCAAATTTTCCTGGAATAATCCAGAGACGTATTGAATACGATTTTGAATGCGACCTCTGTAAAACCGCTAAGCTTTGGCCTCAGTCAAATATCTGTGACTAAAACAATCGCAATTTGTGGGGTGCGCTTGAAAACCCACGCTCCCGCACGTCCCATATTGATGCCGCCTCAATACTCATAAATGTCATACTCCCATTTACCTATCATGGCTTTACTAACATCATCCTCAAATAAAAATGTTTACACATTGAGTAATACATCTTTATATAACAATTAAATACTGAGTGGGCTTCTCACAACAGAAATGGATATGCGCTATGCCTGTTTCCACTGTCACAATTCTTTTATTCACAATATTTACTGGATAAACACATGCAATGGAAGCTTAGCGATTATTTAATGACTAATTTTTCTCATTTTTTTTGAAAATACACTCTTCTATTTGTGTCATGTGTGAATGTGCAGGTGTGACACCCCATCAGAATTTGATTTTAACGAGGAACTGACTCCAAAGAAAACCAACGACAAGAAGCTATTCAGTCCACGTAGGACTCCAGGTAATCAGAGTGTTCTACTTTTGTATGGTAACACTTGGCTCCAGTGAAGTTGGGGAATGGGTTTCTATATGAGGAGATCATTTAAAATGATCCTCAGGCCATTACAAGAACTGCAGGCACGTCGCTCCATGCCGAGCCATGCATGTGCCATGATACAGGGTGAATAAATAGTGCGTTCATTTAAATATGAATATCACCTGAGAATAATTGATAGTAATGACGTAGACTTGCCGAACCTCTATCAGTAATATTTAGTTTACGTGGATTCATCTAGTATCAGTCACCAACCCACGGCATTGCAGGAGCCGGGCAACGGGGATTACTAGTGTGACGTAACAGGAAACTCAGGCTTCTCTTTGAGCTCGCGAAGCCAAGAGACAGTGGGTAGACAAGGAGCTCATCTGTGCCTGGGGCTTCATAGGTTGAGCCCGACAGAACCTGGATGTGTTTAGTTATGCAAGCACACCAGATAAATTACGGCACCGCGTAATTGAGCAAACCACTTAATCCAGCAATTAATCCTCCAATTCGAACACTTTCTGCAAATGTTGACTCATCAGACAGAGAAGTGCATGCATGCAGGCTGAAAACAAAAGGGTGCTCAAAAGTTGGTTTCTAGACAACGAAAGGTGCGATTGTGACCACTGGATTCAGAGGCAGATCGAGAAACTTTGCAAGAAACTTCTCAGCCTGTATTTTGCAGTTCCCCAAATATCAGCAAGTGTATGACCATGTGGAATGACCAAGTAACCCATTTTTAATCAAATTAACAAATAGGAGACTCAGGGTGGGTTCATATTCCAATTGCCACTGTTGAGCATGGGCAATAATTGTAACCAGTTTACAATTTTACAGTCATTGCCATACATTAATGGAGTGATGAACACTAAATTTTACATAAAGGTTTTATCAGCAAATCATGTAAATGGACAGTGAGGATGCAGCAATAGTACTTTGGCTTGACCAAATCCTCGAGAGGTCATGGTTCAAAAACGAAAGTCCTTTGGTGTTGAAGAACGTTTAATTTTTTGTTACGTTTTCTGTACAACTGCGGAGCGCAAGGATTCTTCGTGGTTTTTCACATTGGCTCCATAAGGAATGGCTGTTTTAAGTGGTAATTACACACATAAATACCTTTTGTTTATTCCAAGTTCGCGTTTGTGACATTGGCTCACAGGAAGCGGAGGGCGGATACCGAAGCGCGAGGCTCGTCTGGACAAGGTGCTGTCCGACATGCTGCGCCACAAGCGGATGGACCAGCAGCTTCAGCAGAGATCCAGCCAGCACGGCGCTCCCGAACGCGACGCACAAACACCCACCACCAAGAGAAGCGCTTCGTAATTATAGGACAAAAAAAGTTTAAAACGAGTTTGTTTTTTTTGTATTGTACAATGTTTTTCTTACTCTTTTTGATTCGATTGAAATAAAATTTATTTTATTACCGGTGTCTTGATTTTTATTTGTATCTAAATCAGTTTATATACCTCATTTGCAGCACTGATATTAGTCGTTGCAAATGTTTCAATTGACACATTTATGGTTCACACGCCGCCGAGCGCGAGACTCAGACGTTCTGCAGCCCTGAGTCACCAGAGCACAGGACTTGTGCTTGAACCAAACGTAACGATTTCCCCGCAATTCGGGAAGGGTGGCACCCTACGAAGTGGTCATTCCCCGGGCCCAATCCCGGCACGATTTTCCTGGTGGAATGGGGGTGGAGGGCCTATAAATAGCGAAATTGATGACCGTGGCGACCTTGTGAATCCATGCGTGTCTGTCAACCAGCCTGTCTGCATGGGCCTCATCTCTTGATATGGGAGTCGGCACCACTCGGAGCCGTGTGTTATATCTCTCGTACCATTTCATTGGCACTGCTTGTGCTAATATTTGAAAACGGTTGTCAAAGCACAGGTCCAAAATGTGCAACAGGTGGCATTCAAATATTGTAATACACCGAAGCCTTGAACATCGCAGGGGGTTACGTTCTTGACAATAGCTGCAATCGGCAAGTCCGCGAATCGTAAACTGAGAAGGGAAATGGGAAAACGAGGGTTTCGTTCACGGTTTCGTCATATATGTTACACCTACATCAACCCCTGGGTCACCATCGTCTCTGCACTGCGTCTCCCGCCCGTGCAGTTCTCGCAAGCGATTCGACTCCGCGGCGCAAACCGTGGAATCGATTCGGGGGGGGTCACGCCGGTCACGTGACGAGAGAAACGCGCGGGAAACGGCGCAGAGCGGGAATTTGTGTACGATCACTCCGCGGTCTCTGTTGTCACACATCGCCTCCCTCTTGTTCTCTTCCACAGTCTCTGTTGTCTCCACATCGCCTCTCTCTCCCTCTTGTTCTCTTCCACAGTCTTTGTTGTCTCCACATCGCTTCTCTCTCTGGAGGCTCCCTCTTGTTCTCTTCAACAGTCTCTTGTCACCACATCGCTTCTCTCTCACCCTCTTGTTCTCTTCTACAGTCTCTGTTGTCACCACATCGCCTCTCTCTCTCTGAAGGCTCCCTCTTGTTCTCTTCCACAGTCTCTGTTGTCTCCACATCGCTTCTCTCTCTCTGGAGGCTCCCTCTTGTTCTCTTTCACCGTCTCTGTTGTCTCCACATCGCTTCTCTCTCTCCCTCTTGTTCTCTTCCACAGTCTCTCTCCGCACGGTCCCTCCGCCGTAACGCGGCAGGCGGAGTGGTGGTGGTGAAGGTAATGACGAGGTGTAGCGGTGTGTTGCAGAGTGAGTGACGGGCGAGGAGGTGTGATGCTGAGGCGTGGTTGGTGATGTGTGTGTGTCTGTGTGTGGTTAAAGAGTGTTTGTGAGACGTGGTGAGGGAGTGATCGGTGTGCTGAGGCGGCTATTTTGTCTTGTGTTTACTACTTGAAGTGCGGGTTTGCGTAAATCAACATCACTGCCGATGCTCTGTGTTTCTGCTGTAATCGAAAGGATTGCGTGGATGTACTCTTATGTTGAACATCTTTCGACGCAACTACATATTTCAATTTGGGGGGGCTATGCAAGATGCGACTATTGGCCCCCTCTTTACTCCCCGCTCCCCCTGACTCTACGGATTTTTTTTTAAACTATTCTTTGGGTCTTTCGGTAAAGTCGCGTAGAAACATTTTTCATTTTTACAAAAAACTACGACGTTTCGATCGCAACACAAGCAATCGTCATCAGGATTGCTTGTGTTGCGATCGAAACGTCGTAGTTTAAAAAAAATAATTTTTAGTTGTTTTCTGCGTGACTTTACCGAAAGACCCCCCAAAGAATGTGAATTCCTACAGTCACGAAAACTTTTAAGTCAAGATTTGTAAAACTAGTTTTTGAATAATGTGGACGCTAACCGTACTATTCTAGTTGCACCGTGTATTGTTTTGAGGAAGACAGTCTCGCAGTGACAGCGTTAATAATAAAATATATTTAATGATACAGTACTCAAGTTAGCACGCGTTGTGCTTTCATTACGGCCAATCGGTCAAGGATTTCGTCAAAAGGAGGTCGTGGATCGGGCTACTTTATGCTGATCGATTGATATCGCCAGATGCGTTAATCGGTACTGGTCCATGGTAGACCGTAGGTAACATTTTTAAATCAAATTCCTTAACACGTTTTGCTTGTTTATCTGTTGGCCGGCGTCGCATAACGCTGCCACGAACCCCATAGTTGCGCCCCTGACCGTACACTGCACCAACCTCAACGTTTTGTTATTGCTTCCGTCAATCTTCATCGACAAAATCATGGCTTGTACCACTCGCGTGAGACTGCCTTGAAAGGAAAATATATAATAGGCGACCGTTCGGACAATGACCCATCTTCATAGCACGATTCCACCATACCTGTCAACCCATACGTTTTACCCGTATTCCTCCTGTACAGGGAAATTTCGTTTTCAGGTCCAAACGGCGTACAGCCGCTACAATACGGGGCTTTGTAGGGTGAACGTTGAGATTTATAGTGACACGGAGTGACCAATGAGGTCTGAATTTGTAATAAGGTAAAGTCACGTAGAAGGGAAATAATGAAATAATAAAAATTCTAAAACAATCAAATTAAATTATCACGACGTTTCGGCCACAACACAAGTAGCCTTCCTCAGGTGAAGAAACAGAACTGTCGGAAAGACAGTGCTCCAATGAACACTGCTAAGCTTGGCAGCGTATTTTAAGCTGGGTGGGAGGAGCAGAGCGCCTTGACAAAGGAGTTTACATATCAACAGAAGAATTTAGCATTGAAGTAGCTGTGTTAATGTGAGAGATTAGCAGGATTTTAAGGTCAGAATTTTGCATGTAACTGGTCACGGAAGTAGCTATGTTAAAGTCAGAGTTTACATGTCAACAGAGGCATTTAGTATATTGACGCTAAATAACTGCAACTACCCAACTATTATACAATACACCGACGTGAAATAACTAAGTATAAACTACATCAATAAAGGTAGGACTGATAAGGGGTTGATATATTGCAATATTCCCAGGAGCTAAGAGTGCCGTCATGAGGTCTGTTGGCCACGAGAGGGTTTCAGGAGAGCATTCGTGTCGTGCTGTTCCTTTGTAAGAGCAACACACTACTACAGTGGTTTATTATGTGGTACATAATTTGAGTCGCATGATCACAGTCGAACTAGTGTGGCTTGTCTTTACTTTTCCATTCATGGAGACGTACGCATCGGCCTGTTGAAGTTCTGATGCGGTGAGTTGTTAAACAGGTGTCTTGGAGCAGGAATGTCAAAGCCAGGAGGTACGTGATGCTGTCAGCATTCTATGGGTGCACATCTGTGAAAACGAGATTTATAGCTCATCGGATTCCTTCAGTATAAATAAATATTCTGATTCGCTGTGGTTTTTGGCAGTCTGTTGGTTTTGAGGCACCTAGGTTCCAGAGGAGTTGCCAGGCATTACAGCCATAGTGAGTGCAGTCTTAAATCTGCAGTGACGTCTTCCTCATGTTTCATTCGTGCAGAGTTCAGGGACAGTGCGGTGCCCTTATCACGGTCACAAGTGATTTTGAACTGTTTCCAAGAGTTCTGTTTCTAATTGCCAACAAGGCTTCATAGCACATATATTGCATGCTATGCAGAAGGGTGATTGCCGGAAGCATTGCTTATTTTTTTTATTTTTCCTTTTAGGGCATTGTTATTGATTAATGTGTTCAGTTTTTTGTGCTTTGTGGCACCACTGCCAATGTCAGTGTCGCCGAATAACCGGCGTTAAATCCGTAATGTCTGCGCACATGTATACGGTAAATACACATATCGCTGTTCATTCCCCAGTGGCGCTACTGCTGCTGCGAGGGGGCTGCAGACTCGCTGAGTGTCAAGCAGATGAGTGACAGCAAGGGCCGGGCGCGCTGGGCCCAGCTGCAAGAGCGCGTGTCACTACGGGCGCGTATCTTCAGCAAGCTGCCCCTCGCCACCGCCCCTTACCGGCCCCGCCTGTCAACGCCAGACCAACCCCCGCACATGTGGCGCCTCTTCCACCGACAAGCGGACGCGCTGCAGTTGGCGCGCAGCGCCGCCCCAGCTCAGGTAAGGAGCGGCGACACGAGCCCCTCACGACGCCCGTTTTTTGTGTTTCAACGCGCGCAGCCAGAGACACCCAGGAGAGTTTCCCCATGGTTTAGTTATCTGGATTCAACCGAAATTGCTTTTGGTGTTTACGTGCAAATGTAACCATTTGTTGTCAGCTTTTCTGCTTTACCTTTTTGAAATGAAATATATTTTGAAATCCGGTACATATGAGTATGGGTCGCATTGTGTGTGTGTGTGTCCAGGAGGTACACACGTTCGCATTTGAGCGTCCTAACCAAGCGCCCACAGGTACAAGAGCCTTCCTGGTCACATCCTACTCCGAGTTTTGGCATTACTATCATGTGTACTGCAGTGGAAGGTACGAATGCCCTCGGTGTACACTATGTGTTGCACAGTACTTGCTATGAACTGCACCAGATATGTTATCTTGTAGACACTTTTAGCAGACAACTCTCCAATCATACTACCAATTGGCACTTCCTAGATTTAATTTCCACTGTGCATGATGTTTAAAAAGCAGGACGACAACGCTTTATTTTTTACATGCACTCTTTCAAAACCCAAAATAGAAATGTATGCTATTTTGCACAGGTATGCACGACTTACATTCTGTATCCTAAATTGGTATGCTATATTTCTTTCTGAGGGAAGAAAATGATGGCCATAGACAGAAGAGGAAGGTCTTGAGCCTGAACTTGAAAAAGGGCAGGGAGTTGACAGATTAATGATGGCGCAGATGCAGTCATTACCTTGATTAGAGACGAATCGCACCGCGTTCCCTCTCGCCAACACGGAGAGACCTTTATTGAGCAATTATATTGACTGGGAGTGATTGTGATTGGTGGCGTGTTCCTGTAGGGCATCACACCAGGCGCATTACTACGAGGTGATCCCAGAGGGCAGCACGTGTCACTTGTATTTTGATGTGGAGTTCTCACGGGAGAGCAACCCTGACCTGGATGGGGGTAGCTTAACAGCCACTCTCATTAAGGTGAGTAGCCCATAGGTCTGCACCCTTCACGGATTGAGGGATTGAAGGTGCATGAGGGGTCAGGGTCTCACGAGATGATGCCTGTCTCAGGACCAGTGTGAATTCCACATGGCTGTGGTTAAAGCAGCAGGTGAAAAAGGTAAAGGTTTGGCCTTGCAATAAATCTCCTGCTGGGCTATATCACCACCCATGTTGACACGTGTGCTTGTGGGCAGTATGTCTGTGCATGTATTCAAGCGTGCTACGGGCTGGCTTGCACGACGGGAGATGTGCTTTCTCTGGACTCAAGCTCAGCCAGCAAGTTCAGCCGGCACTTGCTGTTCCACATCCCTGGTGCAGCTTTTCAGGACAACCTGCAAGCCGGCACGTACACACTGCTGAGTCACACAGTGCCGTAGCCAAAAGTACCAGACACAATCTTCATTGTAAAAATACAGATATTTCTTTGAAGATTTTTTTTCATAGGCTTTCACAATTAATATTATGTTTCATAATAATTTCTTTAGATATACATATCGTGTTGATATTATGTACATTTTTAACTATACAATAAAAACTAAATAATTTGGCATATTCGTGCGTAAAGAGAAGAAATTTTACCTGCTGTGTCGTGACGGAACAGAATGTGAATGAGGCAAAACTGTTTGTTTATGATACCCATTGTCCAATGCAGTAGTTTGCTGAAAACATGTGACTGGATATAACCTGTCCTGCATTTAGCATGGTTTTTGAAACCCCTTACATATTGGAAGTTACTGAGCCACATCCTCAAGTAAAAATTAGAATGAACTCTGTGTCCTGCCGTTAGAATGATTATTTTATGAATGCCTTTCACAAAAAAACATCACCCAAAGCTCTAGAAAATAAAAAACAGATTTAATTATGAACACAAAAGAATAACTACTGTCACAAGCAGGTGAGGAAAACCCCAATCCTGTAATTTAACTGGGGGGAAGATGGTACAATAATAATGTCCTTACACGTGCTGTTGCCACACATACTAGTTGCTACACACGAGCTACTTCCATTTGTTCAACAAAATCACCCTATGACCAAGGCACAAGCTATTCAATGTCCTTGTTCTAGGATATGTATACAATATATGTTTAAAGCATCATGTGTTTGTATTTTAACATATCTTTCATAACCCTTGACCGAACATTCAGGAAACTTTGTCCGAAAAATATTCAAGCCGCTTGCTGAGAAAATTTGCAACATTAAACTGCAAGGTGTCCCAGAAGCCCATTCTGTGTGTCCGACTGAAAGTCCAGCAGTGCCACATATTGCAGAATCCACATTATCCCAGATGCTTCAGGGAGAGTTTAAGATCAAAGAACCATTGGATATCCTAGAATCTCACAAAACACTGTGGGATGATGCCGACTCTAATGATTCATGGATTGAGAACTGGAAGAGGGAGTTCGACCTAGAGTCTTCACGCTGTGGTTCTGAAAATGATCAGGAGTCGAAAAGCAATGGAGAGTGCACAGGAACCCTGCATGATCACACAAACACACAGTTCACCAAGGCAGGAGAGATGACCCTGGACTGTTCTGAAACATGGTATTACCCTCAAGATCAGGGGACATCAGGACCTGAGAAAAGGTCACTGTGGGATATCTTGGATTACAGAGCAACCTGGCAACATTTTCTGGAGGCTTTGATTGTGAAGGACAAAACCGGACAACTCACCCTGGCTGTTGACCTAGGTAAGAAGCCTGAGTGAACTCGATTTTATTCTACAGTTGTGAAATAAAAAATGAAAGTGATTTCCTGCTCAAATGGGGATAAAGTGAGTGCTCATTTGCTGTTTACAGCCCTGAGCCAGTGGATGAAAGTCCATATTCCTATGATTGGAGAGAGTCTATCCATAGGACAACTACTATTGACTTCCTCACAAGATGGTACAGTACTCATTGTATCGTAACATTCCGATTGAGAGCCGCTCGGTTTACTGCCGAGCCATCTGGTGAGATTATTGAAATAAACAGTCTGTTAATTAATCTGTCTCATAAAATATATATTTCATCCATTCAACTATGACCTTTTCAGACCAATGTCCAGCAAAATTACCCATCGGATGATATATAAAATAAATTTTTATAGGTTCCAACAGTCACATGGCCTTCTAGGAGCGCATAGTTTCAGTAGTATTGGTTAAACACCAGCAAACTCTGGATCAGCTTTAACATGCAGTGTCTCATCAGCCAAGTCAGGCTTTCTCGAGCCAATTCTGATAAACTGCTGGATTTTTATAGGCAAGGACCCTTTTTATTCTCTATGGGCCCTAGTTTGACACGAAATTTCATAATATATAACACAAAATGATCAGTAGTGTTTGGGTAGGACTGTAGTGACATCAGGGATGTATGGTGCTGACCCGAGAAGGCTGTGGTGCGCGATGCACTGTCATCGCGTACACCCCATAAGCGGTGTGGTACCAGCCCTAGCGGGGCTTGGTGTGCGCTGGGTTAGCGTGTTCACCTTGCATAGCGTGTAATGCGGGCTCCCACAAGGGTAAGTGGGAGAGTGTCAGTCCAGGGACAGGGTTGCCCCGGGCCATGGCACTGGTTGAGCCCGTAGACACATGATCCGGAGTGTCCACAGAGAGGCCCCCAGGTGGGGTGGCTAGGGGGCCATCACGTGTCCGGGGAGAGCTCTCGAGAGGGATTGAGAGAGAGCTGGAACGCTCAAAGGCAGGCGAGGCCAAGGGCAGAGCAGCCCCGATCCAGGGGGATATAAGGTGGTGGGTTCCCTGAGAGGAACCGGGGTCACTGCAAGCTGGAAGCTCTACAGGCATCAAAACGTGGTCAGGACCCGAGTGAGGGTCAGACCCTTCGTAGCTGTAACTCCTCCGTTTAGGGTAGTTAGCTGGGTGGCCACCACCCTAGGCTGTATCTGGTGAAGGGGCAGCGTTACCCCTAAGTGTTACGTGTTTATGTTACAAATAAATGTGTTGCCTCTAAAGAACAACGTCTGCGACTCAGTTGGACTCACTACAGGACTATAAGTTACAAAATAAATATTTATAGTATGCCTAATTTACATATCTGTCCCTCGAAATATAAAATAAAAGTTTATTTTACACATCCCATCAACCACATTTTTATCCCATTATAAAATACATTTGGTGCATCGGTTTATTTAACTTTCATCTTTGTCTAGAAGAGCTGTTTGCCTTGTTCCATATGATATATTGTACAGAATGTAGTGTGAAGTCTTATACAAAGGCATGTGCCCTCTCCATACAGGTGTATACACCAAGAACAGGAACTTCCGATTGTATGGCTCATCAAAGGCAGGAGTGCTTGTCCCACTGCGACTGGCTCCAGATGACAGTTATGTAGCTCAAAGACTCCCTGCATGGGGGATCCACAGAGCCAGAGAGACAATGCCGTCCACAGGGACAACCAGAGCTTCCGAAAGGCCTGCCTGCTCCTCAGAGGCCAAGAAACACGTGAGGCTGCAGGAGAAGATTTTTTTGGCTTCACTTATCACCAATGTAGAGTGAGTCTGACATCTTAACATATGACCAGTGGGTGCAGCGGGTGTGGATGTATAGGTTGCCTGATTGTATTTTTATTCTCCTCTTTAAATAAAGACTTTTAATATGCTGCTAATTAGATATTCCTTAAAATAATGGTTATTTTAAATGAAAGTTTATTTCAAAAAGTAATCCTTTAAAATATCTAAATTTATATTTCTGGTTATTACATGCTGACTACACAATTGTCTGCCTATATTAGAGTGTTTTTTTTATTAGTTCACACAATCTCCGTTTAGCTGGGCTATCTTTATAAATGGCTTTGATAATAGCTACATATATTTTTTATGAAGGCCTTGGTTTGTAAGACCTTGGATGACTGGATCGGTTTCAATCTACAAAAAAACATTCAATCGTGGTATTAGATATTCATTTGTATCTTCTTGAATCTGAGTGATAGTATGTATGTAGTCAATGGTAGAAAACTTATTTTCTAAATCCAGTTGACTCACATGGCTGGTTGGCCTCTAACTGTCTTTTCGATACTCCGGGCTCTTCATAAACGTGTGTGGTAATAGGCTAATGGGTCTCTCATTCTGAATTGAGCTTTGTCTAAAAAAATTAAGAAAAAATGGAGGGATCATTTTTCAATTGAGATTTAATTTCTGTATCAATGTTTAGTAAATAGTTCTGCTGCTTTTGATGCTTCTGTAAGAATGTGTAATATCCATCACCGGCTCAGGGCCACCAATGCAGATGAGCACTGCCTTGTGTTCAGTAGAGCACTGCCTTGTGTTCAGTAGAGCACAGAGATGCACGGTCATTCTCTATGTTGTATTAATGTATTATTGTTCTCGACAGTGAGGGAAAAAGTATTTGATCCCCTGCTGATTTTGTACGTTTGCCCACTGACAAAGAAATGATCAGTCTATAATTTTAATGGCAGGTTTATTTGAACAGTGAGAGAGAATAACAACAACAAAATCCAGAAAGACGCATGTCAAAAATGTTATAAATTGATTTGCATTTTAATGAGGGAAATAAGTATTTGACCCCTCTGCAAAACATGACTTAGTACTTGGTGGCAAAACCCTTGTTGGCAATCACAGAGGTCAGACGTTTCTTGTAGTTGGCCACCAGGTTTGCACACATCTCAGGAAGGATTTTGTCCCACTCCTCTTTACAGATCTTCTCCAAGTCATTAAGGTTTCGAGGCTGACGTTTGGCAAACTCGAACCTTCAGCTCCCTCCACAGATTTTTTCATGGGATTAAGGTCTGGAGACTGGCTAGGCCACTCCAGGACCTTAATGTGCTTCTTCTTGAGCCACTCCTTTGTTGCCTTGGCCGTGTGTTTTGGGTCATTGTCATGCTGGAATACCCATCCACGACCCATTTTCAATGCCCTGGCTGAGGGAAGGAGGTTCTCACCCAAGATTTGACGGTACATGGCCCCGTCCATCGTCCCTTTGATGCGGTGAAATTGTCCTGTCCCCTTAGCAGAAAAACACCCCCAAAGCATAATGTTTCCACCTCCATGTTTGACGGTGGGGATGGTCTTCTTGGGGTCATAGGCAGCATTCCTCCTCCTCCAAACACGGCGAGTTGAGTTGATGCCAAAGAGCTCCATTTTGGTCTCATCTGACCACAACACTTTCACCCAGTTGTCCTCTGAATCATTCAGATGTTCATTGGCAAACTTCAGACGGGCATGTATATGTGCTTTCTTGAGCAGGGGGACCTTGCGGGCGCTGCAGGATTTCAGTCCTTCGCGGCATAGTGTGTTACCAATTGTTTTCTTGGTGACTATGGTCCCAGCTGCCTTGAGATCATTGACAAGATCCTCCTGTGTAGTTCTAGGCTGATTCCTCACCGTTCTCATGATCATTGCAACTCCACGAGGTGAGATCTTGCATGGAGCCCCAGGCCGAGGGAGATTGACAGTTCTTTTGTGTTTCTTCCATTTTCGAATAATCGCACCAACTGTTGTCACCTTCTCACCAAGCTGCTTGTCAATGGTCTTGTAGCCCATTCCAGCCTTGTGTAGGTCTACAATCTTGTCCCTGACATCCTTGGAGAGCTCTTTGGTCTTGGCCATGGTGGAGAGTTTGGAATCTGATTGATTGATTGCTTCTGTGGACAGTTGTCTTTTATACAGGTAACAAGCTGAGATGAGGAGCACTCCCTTTAAAAGTGTGCTCCTAATCTCAGCTCGTTACCTGTATAAAAAACACCTGGGAGCCAGAAATCTTTCTGATTGAGAGGGGGTCAAATACTTATTTCCCTCATTAAAATGCAAATCAATTTATAACATTTTTGACATGCGTTCTTCTGGATTTTGTTGTTATTCTGTCTCTCACTGTTCAAATAAACCTACCATTAAAATTATAGACTGATAATTTCTTTGTCAGTGGGCAAACGTACAAAATCAGTAGGGGATCAAATACTTTTTTCCCTCACTGTATATGCAGCTTTGTTCCAGTGTTATTCTGAATAGATACGTTTTGATATTTGTGTGCATTATTGTTGCGTATAAACATCCATGTTATCTGTATCTGAATTGTGTAAGAATAATTTTTGTTCATGTATATGGTGTTGCTTAAATGCCTCAGCAATGCAAAGTGCTTTACATCATATCTCATCTGAAACAATCCGATAGACACCCCAAGTGCCAGCTGTCCTGGCACAAAGGATCTCGGCACCGGGCATAAGTTTGTCAGTAGGGGGCCATGATTACTGTGTGTAATCCTATTTGAGTAATTTTCAGGTAATTGTATCTCGAATTCGGACCGTGATGCCGCAAGAACAATGGCCTATTTGTTTTGAATTATGTTACGCGTTCTCTAACGTCCACTGTGGGCAGTCTGCCGAAATTGACCAGAAAACCTCTGCAACATACGGCGAACACGCTGGGCCACATTACCTCATGTATGTGCGTGTGCGAACCTTTGCATGTGAATGCGATAGACGAGCCCCAGGCCTTCGCTTACTGAGCTGCCTCGGCTCTCCCATGGACACTCACAGGACAAACACCTTCGCTGCAAACAATGCTCACGGTGACGCGAAACGTGAGTTAAACTCTTTGAGCTGATATCCCAGTGTACCTTTTGCTTTATAGTACGATTCTGAAAATACTGATTTGCTAGTTAGTGGCTGGGCACAAAGTATCAGAACGTGTGTCTGATTTTGATTAAGCCCGTATTAATGCCTTTCTGCCATTCTGCCTCATTGTCACAAGGGATAGTCGTACCATTGTTATAAATTGTTCACATGGCAACTTCAGTCATTGGTTGTGTCTGGTGAACGAGGGTTTATAACACACACTTTATTTACCTGACCTGAACCAAAAAATCAAATATGAATGAAAATTGATTGTGAAAGCCTGCATGTTAAATTATTACTATTGTCTTTATTAATAATCCACAAGAAGTCTTAACTGTGTTGTATAGTGGACCATAATTAGACAAGTGAATTTGCAGATAAGACAATGGATATCTAAACATAATTGTGTTTTCCAGCAGCGTGTACTTCTGCGCTTCCTGTTGGTATCAGTAATTTCACCTTAGGTGTCCCAAGTACCTTCATGGGATACATAGGGGCCACAGAGCCAGTATATATATTCATTATTGAGCAAAGTGTGTTTTTATATATACAGTAAAATCCCAATATAACGTGGGCAATGGGGGGCATGAATAATAGCCGTGTTATAGACTACTCGCATTATCATGTAAAATACGTGTCTGTGTCACTGTGTGTGCGTCTGGCCTCAAGGTGCACATGGCCTGGCACAAGCGTCGTGGTGACGTCACCGCCACTTAGTGGCGAATGGCGGTTGTTTGTTGTTGTTGTGTCTGGTCCGGAAAAACAACCCCCTACCTCCTTGTGGTGCCGGATGGGCAACGCTGTCATGGGCAGTGCCGTGGGGGGTGGGCCAATTCCGATTGGCCTTTCCCCTCATTGCATTTGTAACCACCACAGTGGCTAAATGGCGGCTCTGGATGGGTGCGAGGGGCTGATAACCCCTCCGCCTTCAATTAATTACCACTAAACCATGACCACAAAATTTAATAAATAAACTTGTGCCGGAGGCCCCAGGGGGACAGGTGTCTATGACGTCTCCTGGCCAAACCCCATTTGGCGGAGCCGGGAGACTGAATCCTTACCCTTGGGGCTCCTCCAGAAACAACAGAAAACCACTACGTGTGGCCACGTGGAATGTTCAAACGCTCACTGCGGAAGAGAGGCTGCCACTCCTATGTCGGGAGCTGGATCGGTACTGCCTGGATCTCTGTGGTATTCAGGACGTCCGGTGAACCGTCTCTGGCTCCTGCCACCATGAGGGGTGGACAGTCCTCTACTCGGGGCAGGAGACTCCTAAACAACAGGGTGTGGCTCTTCTTATGAATAAAATAATGAAGGGGGCGTGGGAGCGTGGCAGTGAGGTGTGGGAAGCTGTAGGCCCCAGGCTACTTTGGGCTTGTCTTCCCATCAACCAGAGTTGAGGAGTGGTGGTCGTGGTTACTTATGCCCCCACTGAAGACAAACATCCGTGGAGGGATGCAGGCAAGCCCGATTAGTCAGATGCCTTCTATGACCTGTCACAGGTGCTAGCTAAAGTGGCCCCTCGGGATAGAGTCATCTTGTTGGGTGACTTCAATGCCCGAGTTCATGATGCTGGCACCTGGTCTGGAGTAATTGGAAGGCATGGGCCAGATCAGTTCAATAGCAACGGCAGAAGGCTGCTAGATTTTTGTGTAGCCCATGGGCGTGTAATTACCAACACGCTGTTCCGGCATCAGCGCATCCACACCGCATCATGGATGCATGCCTGGTCCAAGCAAGAACATCTGCTGGACTACATAGTGACGGAACAGCGGATGCGGGCCAGGACCTACCGTGGAGCTGATCTGCCCACTGACCATCGACTTGTCATCTGTAAGATGCGCCTGTCATTCTTCTACTCCGGTGGTGGGTGTACACCCAGGACCCCATTCAAACCCTTAGTGGCATGGTCTCAGCTAGCTGATGAAAATTGCAAGCGAGAATTTCATCATCACTTACAGCTGGGGTTGGCATTGTCCCCCCTCTCCTCCTGATGTTGAGGGGAAATGGGCAAGGTTTAGGACTGTGGCTCATGCAGCTGCAATGGCTGCTTTGGGTCCACGGTCCAGACCTCCCCAGAGACCCTGGCTGACAGAGGAGGTGTTCAAGCTGGCTGAGAAGAAGCGACAGGCCAACTCTCATCGGCTACAGCATCCCACGTCAGAGAATGAGGAGGCTTACCGGAGCCTTCGCTCGGAGGTTTGGAGAGTCGTGAGGTGCTGCAAGGATGGGTGGTGGTCGCGGGTTGCTGAGGAGATGGAGTCTGCCTCAGTGGCCCGCGATCATAAATCGCTCTTTAATTCCATCTAAAAAGTAACCTGCAGCGCCACACCTATTACCATCATTAGGGGAAAGAACGGTGATCCAATCTCCGACCCCCAGGAACAGGTTTGCAGATTTGCTGAGCATTTCTGTGAGGTCCTGGGGGAGGGGAAATCCCTCAGCCTGGAAAACACCATGGGACAAAGTGGGGATGACCCTGCTGAGGCTGCGGTGCCTCAAATATTGGAGGAGGAAGTCACCCCCTGTGAGTGGCTGGCTGAGGTGCCATCTAGTTGAGGAAGTACTGAAGGCGATCCAGAGTCTGAGACCAGGAAAGGCACCGGGCAGAGATGATCTCCCAAGTGAAATGCTGAGGGAGAGTGGCATTTGTGCGCAGACTGCCCTACATGACATCATAACAACAGTCTGGACCACTGGACAGGTTTCGCAGGATTGGAAGGATGCCCTGGTGGTCCCCCTCTTTAAGAAGGGGGACCGCACAGACTGTAACAACTACAGGGGCATCTCACTCCTCAGTGTGCCGGGAAAGGTCCTGGCAAGGATTATTCAACATCGCCTTGCTAGGCACGCTGAGGAGAGGCTTGCGGAGCCCCAATGCGGTTTCAGAAAAGGGGGTCCTGCACATATGCCATATTTTCTGTCTGTCTGCTACAGCAGAGGTGTAGGGAATTCCAACAAGACCTACATCTCTGCTTTATTGACCTGGTCAAGGCCTATGATACCATCAGTAGGCCTGGGCTCTGGGTTGTTCTTCATGCTTTCGGAGTCCCTGACCCTCGGCTCACGCTCATTAAGGACTTTCATGATGGTGAGCGAGCTTGGGTAAAACTTCATGGCCGGGAGTCAGAGCCATTCCCTGTACACCTTGGGGTGCGACAGGGATGTCCTCTGGCTCCCACATTATTTAACATCTATTTTGACCACGTAGTTTGTGAAGCCTTCAATAGCTGTACCGGAGGAATTTCCATTTGGTACAGATACAATGGGAGGCTGATCGATGCCCGGGTGCGGTCAAGGGATGGCTCCCTATTGCTCAACCACGTTATGTATGCCAATGATCTGGTAATTGCTGCTCACTCAGAGGAGTTGGAGGCGCTGCTGCTGAACTTGGAGCTTGCCACCAAGAGGTGGGGCCTTACCATCAGCCCCACCAAAACTAAGCACCTGCCTGGGTATATTGTACCATCGGACACTCCACCCCCACAACTTCCAATTGGTGATAGGGCAGTTGTGGAGAGAGTGGAGAGTTTCCCATACCTTGGCAGTGTGCTCATGACCGGCTCCGGTTTAACAGCAGAGGTCTCACTCCGAATCAGTCGGTTGCAAAACGCTGCGTGGAAGATACCTGGCCTATCACTTCGCACGAAGCTTCAGGTCTTCTCGGCCATGGTCATTCCCTCCCTTCTCTACGCTTGCGAAACGTGGACCCCCCTAATGGAACATCTTCGCCGGTAAAAAACATTTTGGCTGGCCTGCCTACGATCCATCCTGGGTGTAACCAGGCTGGATTGTGCGAGCTCACAAATCCTTGAAAGATGTGGACAAAGTCCCATCGGTGAGCTCCTCTGGCAGGCAAGGCTGCGTTCGCTGGGTCATGTAGCCCGCATGCCCAGCCACCGCATGCCTAAACAGCTTTTGTTCGGCCGGATCGAGGGGGCTAAACAGGCGCGGCACGGGCTAGAGAAGAGATGGAGTGATGTGGTACAGGAGGACGTGGAGCTGAGTTGACTTGCCGATGACTGGTACCAGCGGTGTCAAGAACGGCCTTTGTGGAGGATGCTCGTGAAGGACGCTACTGGGAAGTTGGAGGCAGTCGCCCTCCAACAACAACGGAGGGCGGAGGAGCGACGCTCACAACGAGCGGAGCGCCGGGTGGCTAAAGCACAGCAAGTTGGCACAGGGGGCACAAGTGGTGCATCAGCCACTTGTCTCAGTTAGTGAACCCGTGGCATCTGGGTCTGCCCCGTGACCTGCCAGTGGGCGTTCGACACTTCACGTGGCCTCAAGGTGCACATAGCCTGGCACAAGCGTCGTGGTGACATCACCGCCACTTAGTGGCGAATGGCGGTTGTTGTGTTGTTGTTGTTGTGTGCCTCCGCGTCTGTTTACCCAACGGCGCACGCAACCAAGGGACTTAAGAGGGCCAGGGGGTGGGTGTCGATGGCTGTCTGCTTCATGACCAATGGAGAGGGGAGGCAGGAGATATTTTCGAGGGACAAGACTTGCATGCTGTATATCTGAATCTGCGGTGTAATGAGCTGCGTTTTATTGTGGGGTTTTTTCTCAGTTTGGTGATGCGATAGCTTAGAGTTTCACATTTAAATTATGAATATTACAATGGCAACAGCACAATGTAAATGCAGTTGGTTTATGAATTAAAACAATCTAAAGAAAAAACATTGTACATTTACAATGTCATTGTTTTCCATGATTGTTTTTAATGCTTCCCATATTTCGCTGACATTTTTTTTTGCTCAGTGGTTACTGGATACCAGGCGTCTCCATTCCCAGAAATTGATGCGTACATACGGTCACAGCTCAACAAGGGAGGAGTCCAAGGAGGTGGGAACGCTTGAAACACTCAGAGCTATGTCATGCGTGAGATTTGTATGCAAAACACAAGAGCTCATCTTGGGTGGATCCACCAAACGTTAACCCTGGTGCTCTGCAATCGCTATTTTTTGGATATTGCCTTCTGGCTGTTACCAGATATACGTTGCTGGAAGTTTTATGAAGGCACCGGACTGCTTGTTTACGAGGCAACCAAGAACCGGTGGTGTGAGAATGTGGGACGAGCTCACCGCAGCAATAACACCTGGTAAGCATTGCTAGCCACCAAGCCCATTCCAAATGTGAAGCAGGCGTATTGTCTGCATATTTATATTGTTACTTATATTCTGCACAATGACGCTATTATTATAATTACGTGGTATATAGTTTCGTGTCGAACTCGGATCCATATCTAACATCTGGCATTTCACAACCATTTTAAATCTAAAACAAATTTCTTTACAACTACTTTGTGTTTAATTTATTGTCCTTCCCCTGCACCTACGATTAGCACGGGTGGCTATGTTTCAGTTTCTTTATATTTTTTTGGTATAGCCCTGTGAGCCATTCGGCTCTTGAATCAGGTGCAACCACAACAAACAAAAACACGAACAAGAAAACAACTTAAAGTGACTATGTGACTGCAAACAGAAAATCCATGGACGGTGCAAAAGAATTTCAACAAACAGCATTGGTTCAGGAAAACCTAACTCTGCTGATGAGATACGAAATAGATAACCAATCCAGCATTTGCTTGTGTTGATCCAATGCTGCTGAAATTATGTACTGCCAGGAGGCTGTGTGGCTGTGGGGCATCTTAAATAAACTTTTACCTTTTACATGTAAGGACAGATATTGGAAGGAGACATATTGTCTGCTTGCTTATCCATTCCATATTGTGTACACAAGTATATTCTACTGCACATTAGGCATGTCATGGTGTATGGTCAACCATTACCACACATGTTGTGATACCAGTGTTCACCGTCACTGGTAGAGGTCAATTGCCCTCCTCCAATCCCTCAGCCACATTGATTGATGGAAACGAACCGCATCACAACATGTGGACACCAGTTAAAACGAAATACTGTTGATAATAATTTGCTTATTCAGGAAAGCCACACTGAGTCGTTGGACTCTTTCAGTTGAGTCCTACATTGGGTTTTTATTTTAAGGTGCATTCAGCCAATTAATGAGTATACAAGTAGGAGGAAACCCTGGCACCCAGAGAAATCTCACACACGTGAGGAAGCAACACTTTATCCACGTACAGATGGAAACAGATGGAGATTAGGCCACTTGCTGTACTGCCTTCTGAGGAGCCAGGGTATTGGCACCTTCACACCCACGGGAAGGAAGTTTCAGATTTGTGCTATCCGCAAACCCTCGCCTCCGCACTGCTGGATTACAGCCCACGTGTATAGCCACCACCACCTGGCTTGTTTGACACGATTGGCAACATGGTCCTCTGTTAGGGTAATGAGCCAAGATTTTAATTTCATAAATTCAGACAAGTAAAATTAAATGTTACCGAATTCTCTGCTCATGCAGCTACTTTGTGGACCTACATCAGGGGATTTTCTACCAGAAGTGCCACGACCAGGAATGCAAAGCAATACATTTCCGCTCTCAAAGTGAGTTTTTTTTATCCTAAGTAGACATGAAGTGTATCTCCTTGTGATGACATTCAAATATAAAATGTAACTTTATTGTAAGAAGTTGTAAATGTTTTCAACTCATTGCGTTGTATAGTTGATGTGTCTGTGCCTTATCACTGCTATATGGCTACTCCCATGATTACTGTTCCCCCTGAACCTCACTTCTTTCACCCACGTTGAGGACTCGGTCTCTTTGTGCTTTTTCCCTCCCATCGTTCATTTTCCCCAAGCTCCTATAATAACCTTGCTCAATTAATTATAAACATGTTATCCAGTGCAACTTTGAAAGTGAATTTAACACTTAGGTTTTTGTAACACATTGTCCCCAAGAATCTATTACAAAATTGGATAGCGACGTTTATTGGTGGTTGCTTGACATTTAGGGCCTTTAAGGCCTGCACTGTTAATAAATGTTTGAATTCATAACCGACACTAACAATGCAGTGTTGTCATCACCTGTTACTGCTTCTTAAATTACCATTTTAATGGATAATTATCATTTGTACTATTACCTAACTTTAGCAGTACAATACTTTTCCCCTTTTAGCAGGAAGCATGTTAATAATAGTATGCAAAGGCAAACTGGGTATTGTAGTTGAGATTGTATAACCCTTGAAGACTTAAGTATCATTGCAGCTGATTTATGAAGCCAATTAGAATAATTGAATAACATGTTTATGGAGTCAAGAAATCCTAAAATTATTTTTGTTATTACGCTTGCTTACCCTAGAATAAGTCTCAAATTTCTAGAGGGTACTGTAAAGTTTTCGCAGTAAGGGGTCACGTTGCTGTGTGGAATTCCAATGGAGCAATTTGCATGTATGTTTTCGTCATTGGGATGTTTAAATTCATTAACATGCAAACATAAATAGGTTTGTGTATTGTTTTCAGACTATCCTCTTCCTCAAGAGTGCCTCCCCAAATTAATTCTCTCTCGAGTAAGTATATTTAATGGCATTGGCCATCGTAGCAAAGCACTACATTGTTAGCTTTGGTTTGCCCATGATAAATCTGCATAAATTACGTTCTTCCTTAGGCACGTTGGTGTTGCTTCCCTTATCAAGTTAAGTTTTTAGATGCTCCTTCAATCTGGGTGCCAGGCCTGGAGAAGATGCAGGAGCTCCTCCAAATGGAAATCCTTGACAGCACCGGCCTGGGCATCTCCCTCTGCCGTGTGAGCTGGGGGCATTGTCTTACAGAAGCAATGCTCCAGCTCTTGCAGTCGATAGAGCAAGTTTACAAAATATTTACGCGTGATTGTCTCCTTGTGTGGAACCAAGTCAATAAAGCACCACATTGTTAGAACTATCTAGAGGGAATTCCATATGGTTATAAGATCAGAATCTGACTACAGAACTAGATTTACAACCCGAGGCTGACAGAAATGGTCATTTTGTTTTGGACACAGTCATTTTTGTTTTTCAGTTTAAATTGTTTGTTTCATTTGTTTATTTTAAAATATTTTCATTTGTCGCCATTTTACCTCTTGTTAAATGTAATAATAATCTACGTGTTATTTTCCCCAAAAACAGAGCGATAGGTTTGACAATTTTCCTGGAGAAGCTGGAGATAAAGATGTTGTTGGAGAAGGCAACACACAGAACCAGACAGACACAGCGACAACCACCGTGGAAGACACCCACGTGGGAATGTCGACATGATGACGTACAGCGTTTGTGTGATGTACATACAGTAGACTCGATTTTCCGCGCTAATGACAGGGATGGCTCCGGATAATCCAAAAATATCTATTTTCTGTGGATCTCTATGCCCAAAAACACTATAGGCATAAATTATGTTTAAGTGGCAGTTTCATGGATTAAAACTAAAAAAATTATTGATCGGATAGATCACTCAAAATGAGACAACTGACGATTTTGATTGTTACTCTTTCGATTTGGAACGAAAACTAACGATCAATGCGGGTGCTCCGTGGATAACTCTCTCCTGCTCCCGCGCAGAAGAGTTATCTCAATCTAGATTGGACTGCAGGGATTCATACTCTTTGGTTCTTTCGGTAAAGTCACGTGTGTATACAAAATAAAATAAATTTATTTAAATAAAATAAATTTACTTTATTTTAAAAAGAACCAACGAGTAAGAGTTAGTTCACCAAGTGGGTAGCAGGACCACACCAATCAAAATCAAACTCTTCCCACTGTCGTAAAGGTATGCTACTGTACTGTAGGTGTTCACGTGGATTTCGGATTAACCAGAGCACATATTTGTTCGGTTTAAGCACGTGACTTGTAGTAAACATTTCCAAGAATAACAATGTATAACTGTGTTTAGATTATTAATTTGGGTTTGAGGGAAAATCCATGAGTTGTTAATTTGTCAAATTCTAAGGTGCGTGGTTAAACCGCAAATTGGATAAACCACACACAGTCGACTGTAATGCTTGTGTGATTTGTACCTGATGTTCCATATTTAGTGAATAAACAGGTTGCAATAATGTCTTAAAATATTAATAAGCTGAATTCGCAGTTGAATTTACTGTTTGAACATGTTTACGCATCTGTCCGCTATACATTTACATGTATTGTTTTATTCAAATTATGATTTTGGTTTAAGTTTTACAGTATTAAATCATTAAATTTTTTATTAAAGCATTGCCATTTGTTTAGTGTACCGTATATACCGCTCTGTTATGGATTATGGTACGATGGTATTTAGGGGGGCAATCACATGACCCAGCTGTAGCGTGTTATCTGCTTATTGCAGAGGTTCACAGTTGGAATCCAGCAGCTGCCCTGATTAATACTGCGGGTGTAGTAACTGGAAAAAGATTCACCATCTGCCTGACTGGACATTAAAGATTCTATCTTGATTTGAAGCTTTCGTGACTGTAGGAATCCATACTCTTTGGTTCTTTCGATAAGTCATGTAGGTATAAAATAATTCACGTTTCGGGTGCAACACAAGCGTCCATCAGGTGAGAAAGCATGGTCTGCTGCTGAGGCAGACTGTTTTAAAAGGTTTGAAATGGGCGTTGCTCAAGGGTTATAAAGAAGTGACCGGGGCTAGTGATGTTTATGTGAGAGATTAGCATGTAACTGTAAGATAGGAGAGCGGCCTAAACGAGGGCACGGAAGTGGCTATGTTAATGTGAGGGATTAGCATGATGTTAATGTGAGAAATTAGCATGTAAAAGCTAGGAGAGCGGCCTCTTAGACGAGGGCACGGAAGTGGCTGTTAATGTGAGAGATTAGCATGATGTCTGCCTCAGCAGCAGACCACGCTTTACCATCTGATGATGGATGCTTGTGTTGCGCCCGAAACGTCGTTATTTATTTTATATCTACGTGACTTTACCGAAAGAACCAAAGAGTATTAAAGATTCTGTGAAGTTATTTGCAAGGGTAGGCCATTGCGTGCCCGGGTCGTAGTCGACATTACAAATTGCCCGCAAATGACTCATTTGGAATAAACACCAATCATCACCTGCTACAAAAACTTGCCAGGACCCTCTTGAAAACGATACATGATACTCATGGTCATTCAAAGTCATCTGCCATGTGCCAATGGCAGATTCGGTTACATGAGCCGGTGAAGGATACGCTCCCCCTTTCGTACAGCATTTGAAAAGCAACTGGCAAAACATAACTGCGAGTGTAGTAATCCATCCATGGGCATCAGGAGTTGTTGGGTTGTATTGCTTCCGTGCGTCGGTGTAAGCGCGGTAGTGAGCAGTCGTCGCTTACGAGATGAACAGATTGCACTTCACAGTCGCCACAGGGCGACCATTTAATTTTAAATCCTTTTTGAAGGAGAGAGATGCCACCTGCTGGATCTTGTTCAAACATGCTTAAACGCAGGATGTGCCAAGATATTTTCAGTCTGGACGTACATTTATTTGCAAAACATGTATTCTGGTTCGTATGTTTTTTCTCAAAAAACAACATTTTGAAAAGTGAATCATTTCATAATTATTTGTTGAACATATGTACAGTAATTCCCTTTCCAGAGGCCTTGAATTATGCAGTGGTCTTCACATAATCCAAAATGTTCGCAGGACAATAAGACTGTCAAAGTTAATAGTTTAAACTTGTATTTTTTAACAGTGAGCGTAAAAAACACACATCATTGTGACTCATCATATGATTCATGGTTGGACTTCTCCTTAAAGTCCAGCTGGTCTGTAGGCACCCTATCTCCCACCTTGCAGTGACGAATGCTCCTGTACAGATCTCTAGGACACACAACAAACACAGGCATTTGCAACAGCTGCTTGTCCGAATGACAATCTAATGATATAAAATTGCTTTAGTAGGTTGTAACTTCATCATATTCCAGTTGAGTACTAAACATTGCACTTGACTGGCAGGATAGTCTTTATAGAGTATAAACAAGCACTACCCATTGTTTATAGAAAAAAACATCTCATTGAAGGGATTCCAGATGCACTTGGGTGGTGAATATCTTGTGTGGGTGGACTCACTGACAATTGTTTTCCTGCACACATACCACACAACCACACCCTTCTGATTGTGCCTACTTTCTTTCCTGCCATGATCCAAGTTGCTGAACATATTTCATACAATCCCGAGCATCCACATCCATCAATTTGTTTAAGTTAATCTGTGTGAGCTATACAATAACAATAATTCCAACAACCTAAAGCTGACTTCCCTATTCTTCTTAGGCAGTGTTGGGTGATAATTATTCTGCTTTCCTGGTTCTGTCCTGAGGATGCTTGCAGTTTCCATCAAAACGTCATATCTGATCACTACATTTGTTTGAGAATTGCTATTAATTAGGTCTTTCGGTAAAGCCATGTAGATAGAACAAATAATAAAGTAATATAATAAAAATAAAAACACTTGATTATTTCTTCTATCTACATGGCTTTACCGAAAGACCCAAAGAATATGAATTCCTGCAGTCACGAAAGCTTTAATTCAAGATTTTATTGCTATTAAACTTACCACTGAATTCATATAATTGGTATGTTTGAATACCACGTGACAATTTTATTTGACTGTCAGTTGGTGGAGGGTTTTGCAACACATATTTGACCAGATTACACGGCCCAACCCAGAAATCAATGATGGATTAATGGTGTCTGGGCTGCGGTGTTTACCTGCCGTGCCTCTGGCGTGTAAACACGATGTGCTCGATGGCTCCGTTGGAGCAGCACATGTGGCAGTGCGCATGGCGCGTCCTGCACTTCACCGGCTGCAAGATCCTCGGCCACACCTGCTCAGCGTTTTCCTCACCGCGGCGAAAAATCAGGTACGAGAACTTCTCTGTTCTGGAAGGATGTAGTTTCTGTAACGCAAGAGCAACGGCAAACGTCAATATGCAACCTCTCGCTGAAGTACTCATTATTTTGCTGTTACCGATCGTTACTTATCAGTGAATGTAATACTGTATTTGAAGATATCTTTGATTTTTATGCATTCTTGGAATTACATTGAAAGACAAAGGAACACATGGACTAAAGAAGATACACAGGTTAATGACTGTCCAAACTATGAAGAAAAAAGGGTTGGGTGGGACAAATCATGGCTACGATGAATTGTAAAAAAGATGATAAATTGGCAGTCAAGGAATAGAATGCGTCTAAGATGATTTCCACCAAGGAGATGGAGCGATGCGTTCGATTCATGTACAGGTGCTGGATGGATCGTTGCATAGTAGGATCAGAAGAGGTAGCGTGGCTTGGGAAGGCCTTCATTCAGCGGTGGATTATGGCTGATGATTAAAATATTTTTCCAGGAAAATCCCTTGAGCTGAAACATCTCATTTTCAAGGGTGTTCATATTAGTATCAGCATTGAGGAGTCTACACTCTGCACCTGGCTGGTGTAGTGGTTGAACAATAAGTGGTTGGGATGAAACGGTCCGATAGAACCAAGTTTTCGACGTGGAGGGAGGAATCAATGAGTGAAGTTCACAGGAACCGTATCCATGGTGGTAGCCAGAGAAGAGTGATACAAATGTGACTGACCGCTGGTGAGCGAGTAACTGTAATTAATCGGTGAGTGCCAGATCGTCAATCAACCTAACGCTGACAGGTGAAGACATTTAAATGAAGTGATTTGTCACATTTTGCAATCACTTACGGATTCAAAGTCAAACGGCTGGTAGTTCTGAGTGAAGTTGCATGGAATGAGCTTCCTCGCCAGCGTCCGTGGGCACTGCAGACCATGTGAACACTGAGGGAGCACATTCAGTCAGTTGCAATTGCTTCCCGTGATAATTTAAGCTTTGACAATGTTCATTGTTAAGGTGATGCAATTGGGTTAGGCCACATCACGACCTGGTCAAATGTCCGTTGCGAGAACATCCACCAATTATTTTTGTTTCTTACTGGTGAGCTGAAACAATAAAACTAGCGCATTCAATGCCTATACACGAGACAATATCATTTGTTTGGCTATGTCAGGTAGTGTAGCCTTTCACAACCAAACAGTGGCTGGACCATTAAGTAGTCCAACCCAAAAAAATCAACATGAATCAATCCAGCAATGTAATGCTACACTTGTTATCTGCAATGAAGAATGAGGCCACGAATATGGGGAGTTTCAGATAAGAGAAGCTTCACTGTGCGTAATAGGTCTACGGGACGTGGCTCCACGCTGCGTCACCTGCCGCAACGCCAAACGTACCCCAATGGTTATTTTGTGAAAACCAATCACGAAACTCATCTCCACCACACGTGATGGGGTGGGTTTCTGGTTTTGTGAGCTCCATGGTGGTGGCTCAGAGCCAGCGGGGTCCCTATAGCCGACCTCTCGCTATGCCGGTCTGCAACCGTGGTGGAGAGTGATGGGGGGGCACGATGGCATCAAGGACGGTGGCCGTGATATTCTCGTGATCTTGCTGCACAAGGCCTTGATGTAATTGTTTAAGGCCACTGTCAAGGTTGGGACTTCTAAGATCTCTGAGGTGATCACCAACGACTGGATCTGACCTACAAGACTGCCAATCTACACAGCGGGAAGACGTTCTCTCCGGCTGGCGCTTCTACATTGGGACATCACTATTTCCTTGGCATGGACATCAAGCACAACGCCTCCTCTATCCATATCCCCTTCATCCTCAACTCCTGCTATCTCTGGGATAGTGGGGGTCCGGGATTCTCTGTCCTGTGAGGACGCCAGTGGATTTGTCTTATAAGACTTGGATGCAAAGATAATCTTCAGTGGAGCTAAAGTGAACCCCCCCCCACCCACTACCGCATCACGAGCTGCTTGTGCATTGCTCACTAGGAATTTCCCAGCGACCGTCAGGCAGGCAATGAAAAAATAAATCTCGATGCTCATCAAAATGGCGAGGTCGGCAGCCACGCCCGCAGGACACGGTGGCTGCCATACTTACAGGTGCAAAGACATGCCCTTGATTTTCTTTATTCTGCTCATCAGTTTCCTGTTTACACACACCAAAAATCAGGGGTATTTCATCTGCCATTCAGTGGTGGGGTTTAAATCAACATACCTGAGTTTTAGCCATGATACAGGGCCATTTTTAAGATTGTCATGAGTTCAGTTCTACGTGTATTTGTCAATATTTATCAGAGACAGGAGAGAACGTGCTTGAGAGGATGGCCATCAAATAGATGGAGTGATGAGATCCATGCATGAGCAGGCACAAGATGGATTTTTGTGGCATCACAGCAACATGACGGATGGGAGGCCTTCATTCAGCAAAGGATAGCCCATAGCTGATGAAGCTGAAACTATGGAGACTGGAATAAGAATCATTTTGAAGAACGCTGCCAATTTGCTTGGCTGTTGTTATGAGTTCTGAAATGACCGTACGTAAGAAGACTTCGTGAATTGTCAGCCACGTGGATTCACTTCCCTCCAGTCTCCCTCCACCATCCAACACCTCAATTCTCAAGTGAGCGTGGAGGTGGTGCTTATCTTGTCAGTTTTGTCAATTGCACATTCATATGGCACGGGCGAGTCTATCCACTGGGCAAGCACTGTTGATTTCCCCACAAAGTGGTACTTATTTTATCGACCTCGGTGAGACGATGGCCTGTCAACCCCAAACCAGGATTTGAACTCGCAATATTATTGCGATGCGCTTTCTCTGCTGGCCGGTATGGGCGAGTAGAAAAATGTATCGAGACAGTGATGGTATGCTAGGCGCAGCCCTTTACCTGCAGAAGTGCATCCCTTGCCTGCATCAGAATGGTATATCCACTGAGAGTTCCATTCTCAATCAGTACCTGACCACAGGCAACGAACGACAGAAATAGGACATCGACACCAAACACCACCCCTCTTTTACACACCCGTGCAATAGTCACTCAACACTACATGAATGTTTCTGTACCTTGACTTGACGAGAAAGTGTTTTTCATAGTAATTTGGTCGAGCCAAATTTTGTTACTCGCAATTAATTGTACTGAATATTGTTGATGTTTGGGCACCGTTTCATATTTTTCAGATGTAACGTGGTTGTGTTTGGCCCGCTTTATATTTTGATTGCTTTTGCTCCCGATTTATATTTGCTCCAATGCTGTATGAGCAGAATGTCATGTCAATGGGGGGGCGGCAGACTGCCTTCATGGGTGTCGTGTATTATTTTTTTAAAAATGTATTTTAAAAATATTTCTCCTGCAAAATCCCTCCAGATGGAACATCTCGTGCGCAAGGGGGATCCAGGGTGTCAATTGACATAGCAAAAAACCCGTAACGGCAGGTGTCCAAACATTATTTTTTTTCGATCTAAAATATTGGAAATGAATGTAACCTTTTACCAGAAAAGAGTTTGTTCTCTGCCACAGAGACAGCACGGTGCTGAGACGATCGGTGGCGCTTCCCAGCTCGCTCAGCGAAAACGCCGCCACAACAACGTCGTATCGTACCTGCAGATAGCACAATGGTACGTTTCGTACTGCAGTGGGCACAACAAGAACAGTATATATATTTATATTCTTTAAATGCTGTGCAATTATATGTAATGGTTGACACTCAGAAACAAATGTGGTCCATTTATAAAATAAAGCTCGCACGGTTGAGCGGAGTCAGATTCAGCTCCCGTGGAGCTTGATTTCAAGTGTTTACCACCACGCTTGGCCAATAACTAAACACATTAAAATACAATTAAAAAGCAACAGATAACTTATTAGTGAAACCTGAGACTGATGTTGTATTGAACTGTAACAAATCACCTTTGATGGAGGTAGAAATTGGCGAAAGTAGACCCTCTCAATAACTGACGTCGCATTTTCTTGTCCTTCTGATCAGCAGAGACGTGGAAAAGCAACAGATTAAGTTTTGAGCAAACAAGTGGCGGCCGGACCATGCAGAGGTCGGAGCGCTCAGCGGGCAGCGCTGAAATCCCGCGTTCGAACCCAGGTGTCAGCATCTGCTGCCTGAGATTAAACCGGCTTCTCGTGTGCAGCGAGTGGATGGATTCAGCACGGTCAACAAAGGTTACACAAAAGAAATCCCAATACATACATCTTAACATCTTGTCAGATTACAATTTGGATGTGAAAGATCACATCAATAATGATGAAGACATGATAAAGCGTCCATTACATCGGGACTTCTCAGAGCGCTTTACACGCGATTGTTGAGTTATACCACATCTCATTTAAAACCGCCTTCTCGTGTGCAGTGAGTGGATGGTCTCAGCAAGGTCACCAAAGGTTATACAAAATAAATCCCATGACATTTAAACTCGGCCACGCACTAAAATTGGCATCTTAACATCTTGTCAGATTAGAATTTGGATGTGAAGGATCACATTAATAATGATGAAGACATGTTTTTGATAAAGCGTCCATTACATCTGGACTTCTCAGAGCGCTTTACACGCATTTTTTGAATTATACCACATCTCATTTTTAAAATGTTAAAGGCACCCCTGAATGGTACAAGGTGACTCAGCACCCAGCCTGCAAGTCGGCATGTGTCTGCCAGTAGAGGGCGTTGATTGCTGTGTCATGCCAATTGAGTAATCTGTGGGTAATTTTTTTATTTGGGAAAATTTGGATGGATAAACAATGGCTTACTTGTTTCCAATTACACCAGGGGGCTCTTTAACGTCGACTGTAAAGCAGGCGGCCGTACTTATGGTTATTACACCCGCAGTAGTAACCAGGGTGGCCTGCCGGATTCGAACAGCGAACCTCTGCAACAAGCGGTGAACAATGCTACCGCTGGGTCAATTTTGAATTCAGGTTTGGGGTTTCATGGATCTGTCGCAATGATGAGCGACACAAGCTCAGCCAGGAGCAAGGCTGGCGAGGCTTGGCGAGCTCCAGGCGTACCCCGGAGCAGCATGTCGGCGAGCTTGTTCATGGCGGGCGACACGTCCACGCAGTAGTGATCTCCAATGGAGCCTGACCAGGTCTCGTGAGCAGCCCTGGAGCCGCATAGCACGAACAAGGCAATCAGCATGAGTGCAACAGAGACAAGACTCCGGGCAGCGACAAAGTTCCCACATATACTCTTAAGAGACTGCTTCGGCAAGTGCTATTCGTGATCACCTATGAAGGCCTGCACGGTACACGAGGTGTTGGGTAGCCAGCACCACACCTGGCCGCCTTTGTCTCCCCGGTGCTGATATTCACACACTGCACCTGGTACTCATTTAAGGCCGAGTGGACTGAGGGGATGTCCAGGACCGGGTCAGATATTCGCTGTCATTTTTCTTGGTCATGAATGACAATTCGAGCTCGGGTCTCCTGGTGCATAGGAGTGCGCGCTAACCACTGTGCTACCGTTCGCCACAGCGAGGGAGCCACGTACCGGTGCCGTATCACACGGGCGGGCGCTCAGGTCCACTGAGCGCGCGTGCCGAGCACGGGGCTCACTCCGGAGAGCGCACGGCCCCAACGTGCACCATTCTCATTGACCACTGGTTCGTTTTCAACGTGCATATTCACGAATTTCAGTTTAACACGTAGTATTTCACGACCAATATTATCCATTTGAGGTTTTTTTAACAGGAGGGTTTCTCCACAACTACGGCTATCGCCTCATGAGGTTTGTTGTAATTACCGGCGAAATGTCATACTCGAATTGTAAATGTGCTGATCTAGTAACGAATTGCATGTTTTGTTTACGTGACAAACCTTGCCAATTGGCTGTGTTGGGTGGTGGCTGGTTTAACGACGTATTTATATTTACTCAATCTAACCCAGTATTGTTTTTATTTATTCTACACAGATCAGCGTTATCATCCATTTCAAACTTGTACAAAAGACAACTTAACGTGTTGTGTTTCTGTAGCATACTTTACATTGATTACGAATCATAATATTGCCTGGAAAAATGTACGTATTAAGTTTACATTTATTTTACGTTTACAGGCATCCTTAAGGTTTGGTGGCATCATCATCGCCTTTGACCATGATGACATCTTGACGTCGATTCATGAAACTGTGCTAAAAGTGTTGTTCTGTATTGTGTGTGATTGTGCAAAACTGTGGGAAGTGGTAGCAGTTAACGTGCTGCGCTACAAACCCGGCAATCCGAGTTCGATTCCTGCTCACGGCCAACACCAGTGACGATTATCTGAACCGGTCCTGGGCCTCCTCTAGGTTGACTCTAGGTACCTGGCACGGTGTGTAAACATTTCTCCTGGGGAGACAGAGACAACCATGTGCCGTGCCAGCCAACATAGGTGCCCTCTAATAGCACTTGCCCCAATAGTGATTTTAGGCTATAGGAGGATCTTTGTGTTTGTGCAGCGAGTGAAGTACAGCTCTAGATGTGATGCATGTGTTGTGCTGTAAGAGGCTGTGACGTGATGGGATGTGTGGCGCACCACACAGAGCTGCCTGTGCCCGAGCCGAAGTCCAGGAGGGACGTGGGGCAAAAGTCAGGAACACGTTTCTTGATCTAGAACACAACATACATTCTTAAGCTCACATCACACGGGTTGGGCCGTGCGTCTACAATTCACGCACTGTATTTGCTAATAATGTAATCGTTCGGTGACTGCAGTGAGCTGCACCGAAGCAAATCGTACAAACGAGGCAGTAAAAACCAGGCAAAATAAGAATCCCTTATTGCCACAAATCGTGTCCGGAATTGTGGCCGTGAATCGAATCATCGTGGGGTGATTGTTACGCGACTTGTGCTTGGCCAGATGGATGTAAATGGATGTACTGGCCACCTTCGTGTTGAATCCTAAGAATTATATCATGTTTGATCATCATCATCAGCTATGATCAATCACTGTATCCTGCCCTCGCCCATTAATAATTCAGACACCAATAGTAAATGAACCGGGAAGGCCGCGAGTGACGGTAGAGGAGCAGAGGAGCCGCTCACCTCGGTGAGCGCACGCACAGTGGCCGCGTGGCACCCGCCCATGCGCGCCGCCATGAAGGTCAGGCTCGTGTCCTCGTCGTACCTGGGGGCAAACGACACGCCGCGCCAACTCGCACGAGAGCACTCGATAACGCGAAACACGCAGCGAGTACAAATGGCCAGTTATTTTGTGCGGCCTAACCCAAAAACGTACTGTGAATAATTACATTGACGTCATAACAGTAACTTAATAATATTCTTGGTTCTTTTGGTAAAGTCACGTAGATAGAAAAAAAATCTAAAGCAAAAAACCCACGACGTTTCGATCACAACACAGGCGGTCTTCTTCTTTCCGCCTGAAGAAGACCGCTTGTGTTGCGATCACAACACAGGCGGTCTTCTTCTTTCCACCTGAAGAAGACTGCTTGTGTTGCGATCACAATACAGGCGGTCTTCTTCTTTCCACCTGAAGGAGACCGCTTGTGTTGCGATCACAATACAGGCGGTCTTCTTCTTTCCACCTGAAGAAGACTGCTTGTGTTGCGATCACAATACAGGCGGTCTTCTTCTTTCCACCTGAAGAAGACTGCTTGTGTTGCGATATAAATAAATACGTCCGGCTTTTCATTTCATTCGGTTGTTCAGGCGGACACTCTCGGCGTGCTAATATGGCATATCGAGTTATCATTCCAGCCAGTTGGAGGTGTGAATGGCTAACCCCGGAGAGGCTGAGAGGTCACTGGGCGCCATGGCAGGTGGGTGCCTTCGCCTCCACCCGCATTGATAAGCGTGGTGAAGTACGGTCGAATTTCTTTCCCTAAACGGTCAGGCAGCATGAAATGCGGTTCTACGTCATTTGCAACACTTTCTCAAACATGATGGCGGCAGGGAGTGAGGATGTAAGGAATCACTGGGTAATAACGGGACGCCTCTTGGTTTGAGCATTGCTACGTACAATGCACGAAATCGATAAGATTTAGAAGGCTATACGCTCTGACGCCATACATCGAATAACGTGAACACTCACCTGAGCATCTTCCAGTGATAGGTCACCTTACGCAGTTTCTGCAGTACCAGGCTTTCCACTATTTCATCTTGTTTCTGCTTTTCCAAACGATCGCCGGTTTTCTCAAACCCACCTGAGACGAAACAAATACACGAGTTAAGCATCGTACCTGCTCAGCGGCACTTTCCAAAGGCAACTGACGAGTTGAGAACGGTGGCGTCGCCGTCACGGTAAACGTGCGGCCCCTCGCGGCCGTGCCGCCACTCACAGCTTTTGACGACGTCGCTATGGATCTGCGATGCCCTCTTCTGAAGGGGTTGCATTTCTATTGGCAGCGTGCGACTCCACAGATAGTTGCAAAGCTCCTTCATCCGCTCTGGCAGATGTGGGATCTGGAACTCTGTCGACACAAACACCGGTCTTAAGCCAAACGCATATATACAAGAAAAGCATGCAAATGACCCGTTCTAGATTTGAAGCTTTCGTGACTGCAAGGATCCATACTCTTTGGTTCTATTCGGTAAAGTCATGTAGGTAAAAATAAAATAACAAAAATCACGACGTTTCGGCCACAACACAAGCGGCCTTCATCAGGTGAAGGGACAGGACTGTCCAGAGGACACTCCAACGCTGTCCTCTGGACAGTCCTGTCCCTTCACCTGATGAAGGCCGCTTGTGTTGTGGCCGAAACGTCGTGATTTTTATTATATTTTTACCTATGTGACTTTACCGAATAGAACCAAAGAGTAAATGACCCGTTCATAACGGAACACGAATTATAGATGTTGAGCTTAACCGTGTACAGGAAAACACCATAATTAGAGATCAGTCACACTGGAAACCAGCCTCTTCCAATTCAAAGGCTCATATACAAGTTGTTTATATTTACCAAAATAAACAAATTTATCCAGTTCTTCTCCGTTTTCCGCTTAGACAGATATATTGAGGATCTGCTCTCTGTGTGACTGGGGGGTGGAGTATGCCAGCATGCTTCAGACACTTTGTAATCGGCGCCACGCATGCTTTTATTTCCACGTTAAAACCATTACAGACCCCAGGCCATGGTTCCACGTTATTCTTTTTCTATACAAATGATACACTGGTCGTAATCGTCGCTCTACATGTTGTCTTGTGTTTCTTCATTAAGTGCAAAAAATATCTTGGGATGGCCAAACACATTTAAAGTAGGTTTAAGATTCAATAGGTTTTATAACTTTGCATCCATATACATCGATTCCTATACTCGATACACTCCTTGAATCGTGTGTCTAAGAGTCTGTTGTGATATTTACTTCCAACGCTATCATCTGGGCTGAATTATATCCGATGTGCTTATCTGGACGCCAGGAAGAGCGGGCAACTTTAAAGACAATGCAAAGATCGAGGGCACCACCATCGGTCAAAGTTCACGGAGCAAAGCGCGCACGTACTCGCCAGCAACACCTTCACCCCTTGCCTCAGGGGCTCGGGGGCCTTCACGCTCCGCACGTGGCTGATGCCCGGGTGCTTCCTGAACGACTGGAACTGTTTGGCTTCCTCCGCCGTCGCCTCCGCAATGCACTGGGGGACGAAAACACGCGCGCAGGGTTTGAGTCTGCGTTACGGGCAGTCGTGCTGCCTGCGAGAGCTGTGCGTGGCGAAACGTCTGCTCTCCTCCTCCTCCTCACGCCCCCCCACCCCTCGTCTCTCCTCCTCTCTGCAGTACCCGAACGAGCTGCCGGGGCTGAAGACGCCGCCAGCTGCAGCCGGCGAGGAGACGCATGGCGCGCCCTGGAGTTTCAGCACCGCACGCACGCACGGCTCGAGCCGGAGGAGACTCTCCAGGAGACACGGGGAGAGACGCGGGGAGAGACAGAGACACGGGGGAGAGATAGAGACACGGGGAGATACCACAGTGAGACACGGGGAGAGACGCGGGGAGAGATAGAGACACGGGGAGAGACGACAGAGACACGGGGAGAGACACGGAGAGAGAGACAGAGACACGTAGAGAGACCACAATGAGACACGGGGAGAGACGAGAGAGACACGGAGAGAGATAGAGACACGGGGAGATACAGGGCGAGACAGACACGGAGAGAGACAGAGACACGTGGAGAGAGACACAGAGACACGTGGAGAGAGACACGGAGACACAGAGGCGGGGAGACTCGGGCTGTCTTTGGGACGCGAGGAGCACGCACTGTACGCCGCGCGTGGGTCCCACGTGACCGCCGAGTCTACTGTAGTACAGTAGTGCGTCGCACTGTAGCGGGGAGTTTGCCGAGAGCAGTCCTCCCGTTGGGTCGAACGATTCACAGCTCACCAGCAACACAACCTCAAATACATTCGGCAGCAACAACACCACCACCGTGGTGGAATTTGTATTTACTAATTTGGTTCTCTCGGTAAAGTCACGTAGGTGAAAATATTTAAAAATAATAATAAGAAAAATAAAAGTAAAAATAAAAAATTTGAAATAACTAACTTAAATCACGACGTTTCGATTGCAACACAAGCAATCATCATCAGGTGTGCAATTGTTTTATTTGTTATTTGCGCACGGCCGCCGAAGCAGCAGCAGCAGCAGCATCGCCACACGCTCACGTTCCTGTCAACCCCTAATCAGTGCCCCCTAACTTATTACAGAAAAATTCAGATCTTATCGGTCACCCCAGTGCCCCTCATAAATCTCAACGTTCATCCTACAAAGTCACCATCGCTAGGGAGAAACACAAACAAGATTCCACATCATTAGACCTCCTTCGCCAGTACCAAAATGTAATAATAGGGTTTTTGCCCCCTTTTTTCTGGCAACAAAACTGAAACCTTTTCACAAGGATTCTTGTCTGCATTAACCACAATACCTGCAGTCAAAATTTTAGAAACATGCGTTTAGGGGGTCGTCCATAAATGACGTCACGCGATTTTGGACGACTTTACACCCCCCCCCCCTTCGTCACACGGCGTCACAAAAAGTCAGACCCCCCCCTCGAATATGACGTCACAAAGCTCTGCCCCCCCCCCCAAAAATAAAACGTGCTTCAAATCGCTTTAAACTATTGTCATTGTAGTGCGTATTTAATGTGGCGCTGCACTCTGATGTTGTAGGAGAAAACATTTATTTAAGTCTAATTAAAGCAGAACGTGTTGTCTATATTTAAAGTTGCGCATTTTGATGTGACGTCACATTTCTCACCCCCCCCCCTCGTCACACATCGTCACAAATGTCTGACCCCCCAACCCCCCCCCCCTAGGTGCGTGACGTCATTTATGGACGGCCCCTTAGAGCAGTTGGCTGCTATAAATGTGCACGAGATAAGCCACTTCGTTGAGCTATCATCTGTGGTCACCTCGCTTCTGAAAAATATCTCTATAGCTCAGTAAGCTTTACCTGGTAAAATATTTTAAAAAAAACAAGTTTTAGTTCAGTGTAAAGAGAAGTGACATCGATCAAGGCACGTGTACGATTTGCGGCATCGTATGAGGACTGTACCCGTAATGCCCTGTGGGCCTCTACGTTAGCTCATCTGTCCATGTCAGCGATAACAGAAGTGGGAGGGCCAGTAGACGTTACAAAGCCAGGCCACCTCGTGCAGAGAGGTCTTCTTAGCATCTGTTATTCTGATTGCCAGTTTTGACCTGACAATTCAGCCCATCTCTCTACTCCTACTCTATGCTCCGAATGTGGGTCAGTGCCTGAAACGTCAGCTTATCGCGTAATCCTATGACAAGGCAGTTTTAATTACAAATGTGAAGTTGTTTATCTGCGTACTGCCAACAGTTCCCTGAACATTTTTAATTAATATTAATAAAACAACGTGTTCATATCCGTTGGTTCTTTCGGTAAAGTCACGTACCGAAAGAACCAAAGAGTATGGATCCCCGCAGTCACGAAAACTTCAGATCTAGATTAAAACAACGTGTCGTTTCGTCTTTCAATAACGCGTACTATGCCGCTGCACGTCAGCACATTCACGCTCCGAGAAGCTCCTTCGACGGGATGAGACGGGGAATCATTCTCTGGGGTTGCCATCGGACAGAATTGAAATATCTCGCAAGATCACGGGACATGATAGGACGGGGAAACATCGAGCGGACTCGCAGCTCACTCCCACCGTGTGCATTGATGAGAGGAGCCAGGGACCTGGAGGTGGAATCGCTTTCGAAAAGAATTGCGTTTGGCAGCGCTTGCGCAAATTGTGACACCCGGGCTGAGTGGAGCCGTCTGGACACGAAGCGGGGAAGGCTTCCTGGCAGAGAGGGAGAACGAGACACTCAAGAACGACGCCGAGAGACGCAGATTGCGGAGGAAGAGATACCGGAATGACACGCAGAGCGAGACGCAGACCGAGGCAGACAGGGAAGGGAACACGCAGACATTGTAAGGGACAGAGTGACCACGCAGACACACACGGGTTGCATGGAGAGACGCAAGTGGAAAAAGATACGAAAAAAGTGGAGAAAGACACGGAGAGAAACACGAAGAGTCGGGGTGCGCCGCTGTCATCCCCCAGGGCTGCACGCAGCACCAAATGGGCCCATATAAAGAGACGGAGGGACAGGCAAGGGGCCGTTCATAAATGACGTCACGCATCTAGGGGGGGGGGGGGGTCGGGGGTCAGACATTTGTGACGATGTGTGACGAGGGGGGGGGGTTGAGAAATGTGACGTCACATCAAAATGCGCAACTTTAAATAAATATAGACAACACGTTCTACTTAATTAAATAAACTTTTATGTTTTCTCCTACAACATCAGAGTGCAGCGGCATATTAAATACGCACTACAATGACAATAGTTTAAAGCGATTTGAAGCATGTTTTATTTTTGTGACGTCATATTTGAGGGGGGGGTCTGACTTTTTGTGACGCCGTGTGACGAGGGGGGGGGTCAAAAAATCGTCCAAAATCGCGTGACGTCATTTATGGACGGCCCCCCAAGGAGAGACAAATACAGAGACGGGAACAGAGCGGCAGAGGCAACGAGAGACGCACATCCAGACAACATGAACACAAAGAGCAAGGGACAGATAGCAACGTAAATACTAAGAAAGACGTGGACACGGTGAGACACTTGGGAGGCATCGAGAGACGCAGAGACGTACACAATCAGAACCAACTTCTTCCGTCATTGTGCACCACCGCTTTGTAAATAGCACCAGAGTGCAATGATGATAGCTGATCTGTGGAGCCTCCTGACCTCATCATAACCCATAACAGTTCGCTGTGCAGCATTCCCGATGGAGGCAATTCACTGGGCCTCCTTCAAACAAAGGCAAACAGCGCTTAAGTCATGCTCCTTACAAAATGTTTCGCAGCTGGTAAACGAATATTTCAGATTCAGTGGACTCGACTGCAACATTTAGTTGAACAACACATTCCTGCGGAGGGAGGAGCTGGTAGGAACGTTGGGTTGCTCGGTCAATGGCCAGGGTCAACGGCGGCACCACGTGGTGTATTCCGCAAATATGCCCGACTGTGAGGGCGGGCACAAGCCGGCGTGAGTAGGTTAAACGTTGAGTTTTATAAGGGCACCACGGGGTGACCAGCCCCTCCCCACCCAGCCCCACCCTCCCCTCCCCACCCAGCCCTCCCCACCCTCCCCACCCAGCTCCTCCCCACCCTCTCCTCCCCACCCAGCCCCATCCTCCCCACCCAGCCCTTCTCCACCCTCCCCTCCCCACCCAGCCCCTCCCCACCCTCCCCTCTCCACCCAGCCCCACCCCTCCCATTTTTGGATGCACGACAGACGGACGGACACAATAATCCCCTGTGGGCTGGTGTAACAAGGAGGTTCCTACCAGTATAAATATGGGCAACACAAGAGTCACGTAGAACAAGCCGATTAAACAACTGAAGTCTACGTTGAAGCGAAATAACTGAAAAACACAGCGGTGAAGGCCAACCACTGATGGCGGATGATTCGCACGGTTTGGCTATGTACGGTGCGAAATAAGTTCAACATACGTACATACAAGAGGAGGTTAATGGTTTGAATCTGGCAGGCCGACCTGGTCATTACTGCAGGTGCGGTAACCGTAAGCCTGCACTGCCTACTTTACAGTGGACGTGAAAGAACCCGTGGCAGTTTAAGAAGAGTAAGGCCATAACGTGCCGGCATCATGGTACGAATTTTAAAATAATTCTCACATCTGACTCAGTTGGAAAACAGAGAAAACTCATCAGGATCCTCATGATACCCCCTTTTGTATGCACTGTACTTAGTTGAACTTCTTTCGCACCGTACGTAGCCAACCGGAGATGCGGAGGAAGGACAACAAACGAAACAGCAAAGAAGCAGTTTGAGACTCTGAGATTTCCCTGGGGAAATACGTGTAATACGTTTAAAATGAAAGTTGGAGTTCTCAAACAATGTAACTTGATCATAAAACGTGAACTTACTCGCATTTTCCATGTTTGTGTGTTTGCTATATGGCATACAGAAGAAAACTGAAGGGTACACAAATCATAGAAGTGCAAACGCACTTGGAAAATACGCCGAGATGCAGAAAGACGAGCACATGGATTAGCGTGCATATGGAAATTTGAGATACCATCGACGTTAAAAAGTAGGGGGGCTTGGATAGGACTCACCACTAGGAAGGATGCGAGCTGACGGACGAGACTGATGGTGGGATTACAGCCAAAGGAGATCACACGCCAAAGAGAGTGACCACCATAGACATGGAGCGTTGAGATGGATGGTGGCATCATTTAGTCGTGGACGAAGACACCAATAACAACAAGCAGGCAATCCAATGGTAATGCTGCAGTCCATGTCCAAGGTGGCACTTGGTAAAGGTGCAGCCCTTCTGAAGTTGCTCGCTCGAGAGCAGTGGTTCTTCACCTTTACTAGCACCCCTTTGGTTTACAATAGTTAAAACATGTCAAATGTTCATTTGAAGCTTTCGTGACTGCAGGAATTACTCTTTGGTTCTTTCAGTAAAGTCACGTAGAAAGAAAATCAAATACATAATAGAATACGAAAATTTCGATTGCAACACAAGCGACCGTCATCAGGTGTGAATGAATGCAAGCTCGGAGAGACACACGTATACAGAGAGACAACACAGAGACGGAGAGAGACGCATACACAGAGAGATACACACAGAGAGACACACATAGAGAGAAGTGGGGGGGGGGGGGGGGCAGAGAAATCAGCATGTGAATGAGAGCGGCAGGGGGAGAGAAGTTGGAAGTTTTGACACCCCCCCCCTCTCTATATATAATGCCTCGTCACAGAGGCGTTGTTTCTCTGTGTCTCTGTGTGTCTGTCTCAGCGTGTGTCTGTGTCTATCTCCCACGTGTTTGTCTCTCTCTGTGTATGCGTCTCTCTTCGTGTCTGTGTTTGTCTCTCTCTCTGTCTCTCTCCGAGCTGGCATTCATTCACACCTGATAACGGTTGCTTGTGTTGCAATCGAAACGTCGTAATCTATTATATTATTTATTTTATTTCCTTTCTACGTGACTTTATCGAAAGAACCAAAGAGTATGTATAATGTTAATGAATACATACGTTTCATGAAACAAAGTAGTTGTACTTACGTACCCATGCATAATTTGTTTCGATGAAAACATCTGGGATGTCTCGCACCCCCAGAAAGGGCATATCGCACCACAGGGGGCTGCGTGCACCCCAGGTTAAGAGTGTCGTGGGTCAGAAACAAGAGGAGACACCAGTTGAGGCAACGCGATATTTATTTAACACTCTACTTCTTACAGGGTCCCTAACACAAAGGGTTAGCGGCCCCTTTCACCCAATACCTGGGGAGGTATGGCCTCCGGGCTACACGGGCCCTAATACTGGGACCACGCGAATTCCCAGTCCTCCGGCTAGGGGCCCTAGGGGAGGCTACGCTGACCCGACCGTGCCAGGGTCTGCGGATCCTGACCACTGGCCACACTCAGCTCCGGCCCTTAGAAGGACGGCGGAGCTTGAGGTCCAGGGTCCTATCCTCAGCCCAGCTTTTCGGTCTTCAGCTTGGAAGTGACTGACTCGATGGTTCAGAGGTCCGACTTATATACAGGTCCGGGGCTTGCTCCACCCCGGCCACGCCTTCCTTCCAAAATCTGCCACCAGGTCCTGGAAGGGTGACATCATCCCCCAGTCCCCCCTCCCGGGGGTTTGGGAATTGCGTCCCAGGATCCGTTATCCCAGGGATCACCGTTAGCCCCTTTGGCCATAGTTCTTTAACATTGGTGTAGCCACTCTTCCGCCCCCTGTTGACCCAACAGTGATGCTACCCGCTGACAATATGGGGAGTGCGGAATAACGCCTCTACAAGAGGAACCACTGCTCTAGACGGTATCTGGTCGACTCTTCCACGTTGACCAGATTTGTTTGAAGAGGCGGGCGTACCCACAATTTACCCCCACCCCTTTAACAATCCCTGCCAATGACCATATCGCACTGAATCCACCCAGTCTCATCATCGGATTTCAGAAGACGGTGCTTGGGTGGCTGCTGCGAGAGGGCAGTGCGGCGAACAACCTAATTGTTGAACACTACTTATGCTCACAACTTGGTTTGCTACCTATCCATGTCTGCCCCCCCCCACCTCACCTCCACCCCCGAACATGTGGCAGCCCTGGTTGGACGAGTTGTAGGGGGCCGTCCATAAATTACGTCACGCGATTTTGGACGATTTTTGACCCCCCCCCCCCTTTGTCACACGGCGTCACAAAAAGTCAGACCCCCCCCCTCAAATATGACGTCACAAAGCTCTGCCCCCCCCAAAAAAAAACACGCTTCAAATCGCTTTAAAAACTATTGTCATTGTAGTGCGTATTTAATGTGCTGCTGCACTCTGATGTTGTAGGAGAAAACATTTATTAAAAAAAAGTATATTTAATTAAGTAGAACGTGTTGTCTATATTTATTTAAAGTTTCGAATTTTTATGCGACGTCACATTTCTCAAACCCCCCCCCCACCCCTCGTCACACATCGTCACAAATGTCTGACGCCCCCCCCTAGGTGCGTGACGTCATTTATGGACGGTCCCTAGTACTGCTGCACGTCATTGCAGCGCTGTGCACTGCAGTTGTTGACAACAGAGCTGGGCTTGACTGGAAAACTCATCCGGCTTTGCTCTGTGGAAAATTGGGGCGGGGGGGTGATTGCAAACCGTAGCCCCGGTGTCCACTCAAACCCGCACTGATCAGCGCGGGTAGGAACCCAGAATGCAGCTGAAGGCTGGGAAGGGCAGGAAGGAAGGGATTGGCTGGTAAACTGATGGCGGATAAGATATTAAGGAATGTTTAGGATGGTGCGTGATGGTGGTCGAGCGCGTGGCAGATGAGTTCAAATGAGGCGAATGAGTGATCACGCTGTCAGTACTCGCTCGAGAATGTTCGGCTGCGTTTCTGGCGGGGCTACACCGTGTCTGCTGACAAACGAGGTGGCTCGTGAGGTAGAGGGTGCAATT